CCACAGAGAAGAGTGAAAGATCCTAAGATGCAAGGTCACTCTGAAACAGTTAGTAGAACTATATTTCGTCACGACTGAGGGATATGGTGAATACAACAAGTACTATTTGCGCGGGTGGTGATGTTGAATAGGGTTTCTCTAAATTTCCAGATAATAAACTGCTTATGATTCTACATTGAGCAGAATATCTGAGTCCCAGACTCATGTTAGCCGCTTAGCAGTGAAATATTTCAGCAATTCTGCATCATTCTCGGTGATTACTCGGACACTATGGTTAACTAGCTGCTTTCAGATTAGTGAAGATCTCATCCATTCGTCTACTGATGGTAGTTAAAAAATAAGTGGACATATCCATTCACAGGGAGATAGTTGTGGATGATTTCAGCGTCTAATCCATTTGAAAAAACTAGCAACAATATATAACATCAAGGTAGTAGGATCCTCTATTTTACTCGCACTGGTGCAGCATAATAGTTAAACCACGTGGTGTGAATATCATGGTTCTTCCGTATATCTGAACTCAACTCTCTCCCACGCTAAAAATTTGAATTTCACGAAACAACTTCTATTTTTGGAAAAAAGGTGATCATGATGTGCTTGTGTTTAATTTACTACAATTGCCATGGTGTGAACCAAGATCGTAGATTAACCAAACATCTGTTAGGCTGATCACGACTCTCTAGCACCAATGCAAAACTGAATTGTAAGTCCGAGGACCTCTGTTATCAGGGCCTTTACCCTTTTGATTCGTTGTGTGGTGAGAGATGGTCGCTAGCCAAATTGGTTGACAGTAATTGAGGTCAAAGGTCAAGGTGGACAGGCGGATGCAGTTAACATATAGATGAACTGACACAGCCACAAGATATGCAAGGTTAACTTTGCGTGAGAAACAACCAATCAACAGACTGTATTTTCTACTAACCTTGACCTAAAATAATGTACATGAAAATCTATAAATACGTGTTGATTTTCCGAAATAAACGATCTGTTGCCTGGCCCTTGTCTTCTGTTGTTACATTTGGTGTCGCTGCCTACCGACAAATGGAAAGCCTATGTCCTGCAGTTTATGATGGAGACATATGGATCTTCGGGCAGGACTTTGAGGCTTCTTCGCAGTTGAGTGGCGTTCAAGATCTGTCAGCGATGAGGCTGCTACTTGGGACGCTGCTGGGAGGTCGGGAGAAATCAGCATATGGAAGTGTGAGGCGAAATACCTACGAATGTGTGACAGGGTCAGGCAAACAGTTTCCAAAGTGGGAAGGACCAAATATGGTCACGTTGAGATGGGGTAACGCAGACACAATCGCAATGGCAAACACAGAGAAACAAGTGAACATCCGCAAGCGCCGAGATTTCAGACAGCAAGACAAAAGAGAAAAGCCCCAAGATCCGAGAAGACCGAACCAACTTCAGTCGCAAGTCTTTGAGGGGGGGACGAGTGTGGTGAGAGATGGTCGCTAGCCAAATTGGTTGACAGTAATTGAGGTCAAAGGTCAAGGTGGACAGGCAGATGCAGTTAACATATAGATGAACTGACACAGCCACAAGATATGCAAGGTTAACTTTGCGTGAGAAACAACCAATCAACAGACTGTATTTTCTACTAACCTTGACCTAAAATAATGTACATGAAAATCTATAAATACGTGTTGATTTTCCGAAATAAACGATCTGTTGCCTGGCCCTTGTCTTCTGTTGTTACAGTTGCATGGTAAGAACCGTCTTTATGCGTCGGTGGCACAATGGTTAGGACTCTCGCCGACCATGCACATGGTCCGGGGTTCGAGTCCCTGCCGGCGCACACTCGATATCTATGGTATGCCTGAATTTGGGCAACCGATATCCATGCTGAAAATTCCACACTTGTACTGAAAATACGGTGTGGAATCAAGCTGTAAATCAAAAATAAAAAAAATAAAAAAATAATCATTAGCGGTGTCCACTATATTACACAAATACACTGAAAATTTTAATTCCATCTTAACAGGAGAGTTATCCCGCCGAATTAGGAGAGTTATCTGAAAGACTACAACCTGATGTGATTGTTGTCACTGAGACATGGTTGTTAGTGGGTGTAGACTTAACTCCACTCATACCTGGGTACATCTGCATTCGAGCAGATAGAGTAAGTAGTCTGAAAGGTGGCGGGGTTGCTCAATACATCCGCGATGACATAGGGATTAGGTCAACGTTGTCAGAAGCTCATGACAGCGGCACCAGTGAGGCTGCAAGTTGCGTTATTAATCTGAGCAAAGGCACTTTAACGATCGGAGTTATTTACAGAAGTCCTGCTAGCCAAGCTGATGACTTCGTTCTAAATCACTTGAGGGCGTGGGGTGGTAGAAATAGGTGTCTGGCTGTTGGCGACTTTAATGCTCCATGCATTAACTGGGGGAATTAAACTCCACTAGTTTGTATACCTGTTTCAATGGGGAGTTCACATTGACAGTGCTTGAATGTGCACTCGTGCAACATATGCATGCACCAACACGGTATCACCCGGAACATGATCTATCTACTCTAGACTTGGTATTAACACACCAGAAGGAGGACGTTGGTGACATTAGGTGCCTTCTGCCGCTTGGCAGCAGTAACCACATAGTCATTGCTTTTACGTTTAAGATTCATTCTCTCATACACAGGTCAAAATCTGCTCGTCCAAACATTCGGAAAGCGGATATACAAGGAATCCCGAACGCACCAACTGCAGTTGACTGGTCAGTAGATACAAGTCGGACTGTCGAGGAAGCTTGGGTAGGATTTCGAAATACACTAGATTGTGTCATTTCACCTTTTATACCTTGGTACACTCCTCGGCAGCTATCGCACAAGCCACCTTGGATTACTAGTGAAATAAGGAGGCCATTAAGACGGCGAAAGAACTTATGGGACCAATTTATTATGACAGGAAGGGAAAGTTTCCAGAAAGACTACCGCAAAATTCGAAATCTCTGTAAGTATGCGATTAACAAGAATCGTATAGAATATGAGAGACGGCTTGTACTAGATAGTGTCCACTACCCAAGAAGGCTCTTCTCGTATATTAAAGGTAGGACTAAAACTAGCAATGGTACACCGTCACTCATTAGCATTAGTGGAGAATCGGCTGAGTCAGACGAAGGAAAGGCTGAAAACCTCTCCGAATACTACTGTAACGTCTGATAGTACCACCCAGGGATATGGCGAGGTCACTGCCATCGCCACTCAGATGCCCTCAATTGTGGTAGAGCACACAAAAGTCCGCAAACTACTGTCTAAACTGAAGCCAGGTAAATCACCTGGGCCTGATGGACTTCACCCTAAACTGTTAATTTCCTTGGCGGATATAATATATATTCCGCTTGCGGAGATTTTTCAAATGTCACTGACACAGGCTAAGCTACCCAGGGACTGGGAGGATGCCATTATAAGCCCTATATTCAAAGAGGGGGGCAGGCAATTGGTATCTAACTACAGGCCGGTAAGTCTGACATGCATTATAGCAAACGTAATGGAAACTATTATAAGGGATCAGCTATTGGCTTATGTTGAAACACACGGCTTACTGGCAGTTGAACAGCACGGATTCCGACCAGGACGATCCTGCTTGACAAACTTACTGTTAGCTAGGGAAGATTGGGTCGAGATCTGAGATAAAAACCTTCCGTTGGACGTGGTTTTAATCGATCTTAGTAAGGCATTCGACAAAGTATCCCACTTAGGTCTCCTTAGTAAACTTAAAGGTTGCGGACTAGACCAATGCCTATGTGAGTGGTTTAGGGATTACCTAATGGATAGAAGGCAGAAGGTTAGAGTTAAAGGTGTATTATCAGGGTGGAAAGCATTATCCAGTGGAGCGCCTCAGGGAACTGTATTAGGCCCCTTGCTATTCCTATTATATGTTAATGAGCTACCAGGGATTCTTACTTCATCTTCATTGTTATTTGCAGACGACATTAAGATATGGAAAACTGTAAATAATAACGAGGATAGGTCGGTCCTACAAACTGATCTAGATAATTTAGCTGAGTGGTCGAACCTGTGGAGTTTGGAAATGAATTCTAGGAAAAGCGCAGTAATGCACTTAGGCCAGAAGTCTTATACGTCGTACTCCCTAGAGGACACAGAACTACCTGATGTTAACGAACAGAAGGACCTAGGAATCATTGCCAGCAATGATTTGAAAACAACTGCAAATTGCAATGCAGCCGCAGCTAAAGCTTTTCGAATGCTATGGGCACTCCGTAGGGCTTTCAAACGATTAGATGAGGGCATGTTCTAAATACTCTACGCAACATATGTCAGGCCTCATCTAGAATACTGCGTACAAACGGCGGGTCCATGCTTCAAAAAGGAGGCATATATCCTGGAAAGAGTACAGAGACTAGGAACAAAATTAGTTAGTGGTATCTCACACTTTCCTTATGATAAGAGGATGGAGCATTTAAATCTCTTTCCGTTATCATACCGAAGGAAGAGAGGTGACTTAATTTTAGCATACCGTATACTTAAGGTTGATTTAGGAACTGACCTTTCTAAACTTTTCTCTCCTTCTAGGATACATTTACGGGGTCACCACAAAAAGGTGCTCAAACCGAGGACGATTAAAATACGTGCAGAATTTAGATTCTCTCACAGTGGTCAACGACTGGAACTCCTTACCTGATTCAGTAGTAACAGCTCCATCGGTGAACGCTTTCAAAGAGAAGTTAGATGTCTGCAGAGATATATTTTGCAAGGATTAACACAGGCCAAGAGCCTTCTATCCTTATCAACTGAATCTGAATCTGACTTGTACATAGTAGAAACAGTCCAAAGAACGATGTGTGACCTCTGTTTTAACTGTTTTGTCATACTAGAAACCACCTAATGCACTGAATGTCATTATATCATACAGTTTGCAGAGTGTGGATCTCTGGGTGCAGAGGATTTCGCAAACTAACGATAAACTATATCTCTGCGGTGTTTCGGTTACTCACAGGCCGTTAGTTCTAGAAAAAACGCTCAGAGTAGGCGTAGGGATCAATCTCTCAATAAATGCGTGCAAGAAAGGGATAGAAAATCAGATGATAGATACCTAGAAACTTCATATTCCTTAAGAAATATGTTGGTAAAATCCATTGGAAAAAGTTTGAATCAGCGCAAAAAGTGAGAGAAACGGTACTTTTCAGCATGTTAGATAAAAAAGCAGCAACAGATGAGCAGCTGCTGCTGTATGTTGTGTGGTTCTAATTTTGGATCTTTTTCAGTGAACAAGCAAAGTTTCTTTGTAATCAGCGTTCTGAAAAACCCACTAACGCATTTGTCTCCAGTAGTGGAGGTAAAAAACACCAAAGGTCTAATCTTGACACATCACTGTATGGTAAGTTAAGTAACCTCAAGGTAACAGGACACCTAGAAAATGAAACTAGAGATCCCTGTTTCCTTCCCACCATCATCGTAAGTTAATTGTAGTTTAAAATATCGGTGCTTTAGGAACGTCCAGTTATTCGAAATGCTGAAAAGTCAGGCAGTGCACTGCCTAAAGAAGATGATAAGCCGGCTACCATGATGAGCTGCTCATCTGCAAATCCGAAGAGCATTTTTGCGAGGGAAATGGAGCGCGCTGGATTTACCAGGTCTACTTACAATCATTCACGTAGTTCTGCTTCTAGCAGTTTTGCCCGTAGTCACTGTAAGACAATTTTCTCTAATGCTTTCCAAAGCAAAATGTTTAGAATATTTGAGGAAAACATCTCCACAAACAATAACAGGCAGTGGGTTGGGAACTAGGTCTAATGAAATTGAAAGAATACATCAAGAGAACTTGGAACGCTTGTCTCAACTCACCGAAGAAGAAATACTTCAGGAAAGAGAAAGGATTCTGTCATTAGCTGGTGAGTGGTAATTCAAGTGGGATTTGATACTGTATTTAAATAGCATTTGGTATGGAACTTGCTTATGTTAAGAAATTATGTACATGTTCAGATTCCAGCACAGTAAATGAGTCACAATTAAAAATCTTTCATTATTTACTGGAATGGAATTCTACTAGTTCAGGACCAATTTTCGTTCGCTTTTTGATTGCTTTCAAAAACTCATTAATCAATATTTTGATGTATAATCGTGTTATATGAAATATGATCACTTTTTATTCTGAATATCTGGCTTTCGTTTCATTTTATTTGAACTAGTTAAGGCCTGTAGTTTCTAATGAGATGAATTGTGTGTGCTAAGGATTCAAACACTTCATATTTCAGTGTCTTTAGAGTCAGCTGTGTTTGTGTGTAATGAAATACTCCAGTTTCTAAGCTTTGGAGTCCTAAAAGAGTTATAAAATCAATTATTAGAAACCTGGATAATGATTACGAATTGCTCACATCCTATTATACGTATACATACTATTAGCTGCCCAAATTTTGCTAAGATCTACAGTCCATTTCTTGGATTTAAGTGCGATGACTAAAATAGATTTATTTTCTGTTTTCTTATTGTAAATATTGAAGTATCTGTTTTACCTGTTACCTGCAGGTGTCGTAACGATAAATTCAGATATTATTGCTTCACAGGTTGTATGTGCTCTCAGGTCACTTTGAAATTCCTCTCAGATCAGTATCTCTTGTGTAGAAAAGTTTTCCAGGCAAGAAGGAACTACTGTGGGACGTAACAAAAACTTTTGTGGTAGACAAGTTTATTTTTCCACAGTGTTGTGAAACACTTCAAGTATATGAAAGTTATGTAAGGTACTGCATGTGCTATTTTTTGTTAGTAGAGTGATCATATCATGTAGTCTATTTACAGGCTAGGGATTGGTTTTTATTGCTAGAGTCTTACTCATTTTACTCATAGTATACTAAGAGTATCTTAATGTGTGATGAAAGGATTGCGTTTGCCCACCCCTAAAGTCCACATTAATACATCCCGAAAAATTCTACACGATCACTAGTTTCTAGTTTCCTTGTCTATATTTTAATCAATTCTAAAACTAGCGCTGCAATGATTGACAAGCCTCAACAAACAATTATTTTTATATATAATTATGAAAAATATAGAACTACTTGTTGTTAAACCGTTTTACTGAATTACTGTGTTGCTTCCTGATTAATTTTGAATATCAGACAGCTTCTAGACATTTACACTAATATTACATACGTACTACAAAAGTTTCTACAATTTTCTGTTAGCTTGTTTTTCTAAAAGTTGCTTAACTTTTCCATATTTTAGACCCTAGTGTCCTATCATTTTTGATGCACAAAGGTCGTAATGTGAACAATATGGGTAAGTTCTGATTACTTATATTCCAATAGTAGTTTTTTATGGTACTTTCTTTGACTTGATTTTTGATACATATATGAGTTGTTTTTAGGATTCATTATCCCACACAATTCTTTCCAATGGCATGTTTACACTTCCACTATTTGTAATCTTCATTCTAGTTGCAACAAAGGTAACTTTAGTTTTGGGATTGTTTCTCAGCGAGAAAAAAAACAACTTCGGAGACGTTTTTTGTTCTGTCGAAAGCTGCTTCATTTACGTTGTCAGATGTATTAGGACTTGTGATGAAGTGTTTACCGAATTCAGAGGTGTCTGTTATAAATATTTGTTAATTTGCGTTCTGTTAGGACTAAGACGTTGCGTCCAACCACCTAAGGTTTTATGATGTACTGCATGCATGTTGTTCAGCATTTTGTTTTGAAGGAGACACTCAGTTCATCAAGAAGACCTTGAATGGTCTTCTACTTATCCTTGAGAGTTAGTTGATATTCTTTCTCAGTTTTTACTAGGCTAAAATGTATTTCAGTCTATAATTAGTCCCAAGACGTTAAGTTGCATATTAGGGCGTAGTTACATATTTGTAACAAATGTCTGAATAAAACATTTCAGTAAAGATTTACAGCCCCCCTCCCTCAGGTGATTCACTTAGTCCCCAATACTAGTGTAAGTCATCTAAGAGTTTCATCCTTCACCGATCATATTTAAGAGACAAGTGCAATCAAATATTTTCTAATTTATACGAAGTATTCTTGACTGATATCTACTGCCTTTTATCATGATTCTTATCTATGTTTTTACGAGTTTGACCACGGATTGATATCATTTAGAGAACCATTGAAAACCAGTATTGGAGTACTGGAGAGCTGTTTCATCCTAGTTTGGGAATCATCGACAGTACGCACTCACCGGGGTTCGAACTCAGGACCATTCCTCCACTGGGACCCGATCCAATAGCCCATGAATTCTAACTTGTACCAATTCGTGATTTAACGGGATCACCAACCGGAAGGTCCTGGGTTTGAAACCCCTGTGGATGTGTACTGCTGATGATTTCCAAACTAGGATGAAACAGCTGTCTAGTACTCCCTGGTTGGTTTTCAGTGGTTATCTAACTGATATCAATCCGTGGTCAAACTCGTTAAAACAAATCTAATCCTTACAAATCATATCTATATAGTTTAAGGTAAGTGTAAGCGTTAAATATGGTCGCATTCCTGACGATATTTATTCCATGAAATTGTCAACAACTGTTAGAAATCTTAAATTCTTTTCCAAGTTTTTACTATCTAATGTAACGTCCAAAAATTCTACTGTTAGTCTGTCTTAGTTGCGGTTGCTTTCATCACTATCCGGGTTTAGAGAGAGCACCACTTCTTAACGACTATTTGCTTGTAATACGTAATTTAATGACTAATTATTAGCCTCGTTAATCACAAAAACTAACAATCTGTACTTAATAGCAGTTAATATTAGATGATTACAGGCAGTCGACAGGAAGCCTTCAACCTAGGTCTCATGCTAGTTGGCACTCACCAGTCAGCAAGGCGTATCTGCAACGTTGAAGGAACTCAAATTCCTCTTGAGATTCGAACCTGCGTCACGCAGTGCTGCAGTCAGAGACGTTATCATTGAGCTATTCGAGATCGCGATTGACCTCCTGTAGGACGGACTGTATTGGATACTTTGATTGGACACTAGTGAGTGACTAGTGTAGTGTGTCTAGTTCTTTGTTTGGTGCAGACTGAATTCTATTTTCAGACAAGTTTGCAATGTGGCCAGCATTCTAGGTGGCTTACCATCACGGTGCACTTTGAATCGTTGATATTAGATGGTTAGAGACAATCGGTCACAGGAAGCCTTGGACCCATATCAACAATTCAAAGTGCACCGTGTTGGTAAGCCACCTAGAATGGTGGTCATATTGCAAACATGACTGATGGTTATTCAGTCTGCACCAAACAAAGAACCAGTCACACTACACTAGTCACTGACTAGTGTCTAATCGATAGAGGTTTTTTCCCGTCAGGTATTATCTAAGAAATGTACATACAATATGATAATACGATATCTAGCTGGTGAAGGGTTTAAGTAAAATATTAGTCGTAATTAAGAACTTGAATAATTCATTTCTTCGTGTTATTTTAATGTAACATTTCAACTATGATAACTGGGGAACATGCAAAAATATACGGAGATCATAGGGTTTTTCAGGGATTTGGATTAACTCCCAAAGTGAATTTCGCCACAAATCGATATTACTCAGAGAAATCATTGAAAACCGTGGAGCCACTGGATTGACTTGTTTCAACATTGAACTTTGCACTGATGTTCAGCAGTTCTAGTTGCCACTCTCCCTCTACGTAACACATAAATCACGAGAAGAGATTAAAAAGAGAGATAATAAACAGAAGTCTGAGAGAAAAAGAATAGTTGTATGGAATAACAATAGATTTTTACTGGAGATGACAAATCATCACATAAAGTGGATGCATCCGCGCCAACCATTGAGAACGACTGTTTTGAGCCAACCATATCACCAATTGTCTTCAGCTTTCACTGGTTCTTAACCATCCCGTGAACCCCTACCAGGAAGCCAGTCTACACCTCCCTACGTGACCGGCTTAAACTAACATTTGTGAATCTCATTGACTGATGAAGCCATGTTTTGGTTTGACCACCACCACTAGCTCTTTTCCAACCTGATCCATCCTAAATCAGCTAACATTGTTGGTCGAGGAAGTCGATGGCTAGGCGTGCATAATAACACATGTGACCATCTCAATCGGTGTGGCTGCACAACCTTGTCGATTGATTTCCTCCTCCGTATCTAACACTCAACACCTAAACTCAAGGAGCACTGGACAGCTGTTTCGTCCTAGTTTGGAACTCTTCATCAGTTCACAACCCTGCCAGGGATCTAACACGAAACCCTCAGGTCACAAGACCAAGCTCGTTGAATGTATTCAACCACTTTACCTAGAGTTCAATGATCCATGAATTCCAACAGTGTCAATTCGTGATATAGCCCCACCCTACCCTACCAATGCCTTCGATTACTATTCACTTCACCTTGACATGGTGAACTCCACTGATCATGACTTCTTAGTACAGACTGAGAACATTTATTCGGCAGCCATCAGTGAGCTGGAGATTAATATTTATCAATGAGGAATCGTGGGTGTGCACTTATGAAGAGTTCTAAACTAGGACGAAAGAGCTCTCTAGTGCTCTCTCTCTAATCAATGTTAGTTCGTGTTGAAATCTACATGGAAGCATACAAGATTACTTTACCACTCGTGAGTAAATATTCATTTTCAAGTTCTAAACTATTCTATCAGTATAGTAGTTAAGTAAATCGAAAGGTACTTGTAGCTTATGTTGTGGCTGGTTGTGGCTGGATTCAACATAGAACTTGGCACCGAAGTGCAGCAGTTCGAGTTGCCACGTTCCAAATAGCACACAAAGGTAGACAAGAAAATGAGTGATGAAGAGAATCAATAGAGTTTTGACAAGTATAAGAGTGAAACAGAATGAGTAATGGTAGAAAGGAATATGAGAGATTGCAGAGACTAAATACATCTGCGTAAGCCATTGACAACGATTTTGAGCCATGTCACCTATTGTCTCCAGCCATTGATTCTTAGAGTCGTGAGGGCGGGCCCCAACCCGGAAGTCTGCATCTCCCCTACCTGACTCAGTTTAACTGTCAAGGATTTCATGGATTGATGAGGCCATGTTTTTGTTTGACCACCACTTACTCTTTTCCAACCTGCACCTATATCAGCTAGTAATGTCCGTCAGGGGAGGCGATGATTAGGCATGCGCAGCACGTGACCTAGCCATCTCAATCTATGTAACTTTATAGCCTCGTCGATTGATTTTCCCTCTTTGCCCAACACTCTATGCCTAACGTCAACATTACTTACCTTATTATGCCACCTAATGTGAGAAAGAGATCGTAGACATCTATGATCAAAAACAGTCAACCTTTTCATGTCTTCAACTCGTATTGGCCATGTTTCAGAGCCATAGAGAAGGACGGAGCGAACTGCTGAGCAGTACACACGTCCCTTGGTTGATATTCGGATGTCACGCCTACGCCAGAGATGGTGTAAGTTAGCGAAAGCAGCCCGAGCTTTTTGGATCCGTGATGAGATTTCGTCGCCAATCAATGCGTTGGTGCTGATACAACTTCCCAAATAGGTGAAGTGGTCAACATGTTCTATCACTTCACTCCCTATCACTAAGCTAGGAGTTGATGTAGTCCAGTCCTGTAGCAGCATCTTACATTTTACATGGGCGAATCGCATGCCAAACATACGAAGATTGCTGCTCAAGGTGTTCAGAAGACTCTGCATTTTGTTGTAGTATGTTGGGAGTGAATTGTTCGTTGGACTAAAGTTTTGTTTACCAAAGGTTTCAGTTCGACAGTTTATACGACATTTCATTGAGTTGCAATTGTAAAGATATTTAACATAATATTGAAAGGTTCGATACATCTTAACTTTTGCTCGACGAACACTTTAATATAACCATTTCTGTACGTTTTAACTTGTAGTTTTGTTTCTTTAACCTTTTCATCAAATTATTCTTCTCAATCAATTCTTCTAGATGAAGTTAAAACAAAACATTCTAAACTGGAAGAGTCATTCAGTAAACCAATAAAGCCTGAAATCTCTGATTTACCTCTGGCTCCAGATCCAAAAATACCGCATATGGATGTCTTAGAGGCTGATAAATTAGAATGGACTCGAGATTTACCGCAAGCAGCTAAGGCAACACCATCTGTGGAATTGTCTACAACTGGCGTATGTAATGATTTGTTTTTTTTGTTTGAGTATTTTAAATGTAATAAGGTGTTTGTTTAATTTAGCTGTTACTATTACTGCTAACTACCAAATTGCAACTCTACGCATCATCATCGAACAAAGCATGGAATGGCAATCAAACCTCTACCTCAAATTTATAGACTTTGAGAAGACCTTCGACAGCGTTGACTGCGAAGTAATTTGGAAACTACTCCAGTACTACGGCGTACCCCAAACATTCATCAACCTTATTCAACAACTGTACGACAACGGCACATGTCAAGTGATCCACAACGGAAAACTCAGCGAGGCGTTTGGAGTAAATACAGGAGTCAGACAAGGGTGCCTATTATCACCAATGATATTCCTAATTGTGGTGGACTGGATTATGCGCCAGGCAGTGGGAAACGAGAAGACAGGGATATCCTGGACCGACGTGAAGAACCTAGAAGACCTGGATTTCGCGCGTGGATGATTTATGTTTGATGTCACACAAGCGAAAACCGTCAAACTGGTCGGAGAAGCAGCAAAGACAGCACTCCAGGTGGACATAGATAAGACGGAGGTTATGAAAAAAAACCAACCAACAACAACAGTAACATCCAGCGCCAATCACCATCAACGGGAGGGATTTGAAAGAGGTTACTTCATTCACTTATCTAGGGAGCATTGTCTCAAATACAGCAGGAACGGACGACGATGTCAAATCGAGAATCCGAAAGGCGAGAAACACATTCATCAACCTGAAACCAATCTAGAAATCTTCGTCACTCAGCATCAACAACAAAATTCGGATTTTCAATACAAACGTCAAGTCAGTTTCGCTAAACGGATCAGAAACTTGGCCAGTGTGTCACAAAGAATATTTCCAAAAGGTTGCAGACTTTTATCAACAGCTGTCTGCGTTCTATACTGAAGATCAGATGGACGGAAAGAATCATCATCAAGAAACTATGGGGAAAAAGAAAACAAGAACCAATCGCTCAACAAATATGCAGGAGAAAGTGGAGATGGATTGGACACTCTGTGAGCTGAGAAGGCCACTGGGTGACATCGCACGTCAGGCCATAGCTCGAGTGGAACCCGAGAGGGAAGTGGTGAGTGGGACGTCCAAGGGTGACATGGAGGAGATCGTGTGAAGAAGAGTTGAAACAGTATGGACTAACATGGATGCAGGTGAAAAGTAGAGCAGAAGACAGAAGCAAATGGGGACGTGCAGTTGAAGCCCTATGTTCCACTAGGAACCCAAGGGAACAATAATAATTACTGCTCACTCCAAATCTATTCGGTGTTCTAAATCTACAAGTTCACATTAACCACTGAAAATTCTACATTTTTATGCACAAGATTACATAAGTCAATAAAAAATGTCGATGAAAAAGTTATAAAATGTAATAAGGTAAGCTCACTTAGTCCAAAATTTGAATTTTGATCGACACTTTCTTAAACCTCGTCTAGTTTACTAGTGGCTAGTAAGTCCGGAAAAAGGATGGGTGAGTAGCTAGCAACTCTACCCCGTAAAAATGAAACCAGCGCTTCTGAAACTCCAAAACTTGGCGCTCTATGTTGCATTTGGAACGCAAGAAATGAAAGAAACAGATCATGTGTCTATATTTAATCATTAAATAGGAGTGAAAAAGTCACATTTATGCTCAATAAAAAGTAATAGCATCAATTCAAGTCTCCTTGAACGAGCACACTCTTTGATAACGGATGAGAAGGAAAACGAAGTAGAAATACCAAACAATACTGAGACTCTCAAGCAAAACAACTACCCAAGGAAATACATCGATAAAATCAACAATGGCATTAAATATCGTCGAAAACGTATTCCGAAGACATGGACCTCAACAGTTGTCATTCCATGTTGATCAGAGACGTCAGACGATATCAGAAGAGTACTCGATAAGCACGACATTCGATTTTTCTTCAAAACATCAGACACGCGCACTGCAAAGCAACCTTGTCCATATAAAAGACCAAATCCCTAAAGATACTCTATCTAATTGTGTTTAAAAAATAAAATGCTTGGAATGTGATGCGATATACATCGGATAAACCTCTAGGGAAATCAAAATCAGAAGAAATGAACACCGTAGAGCCGTCTCTGTTCGACCACTGAGAAATCTAGTTGAACTAGAAAAGCTTGAAAAATCATCAGCCATAGGTCGTCTACACGCTATAGAATCAGGCCACAAAATTGATTCTGACAATATTGAAATCATCATCCAGAAAAGTTTCAGAAAACAGAAAGAACGTCTAATATCAGAAGCACTTCATATCAAGTGGAATCCATATTGTCTGAATAGGAATGTGATGGACTAAAACAGAATTTGACCTGGATGCAACACTTCCCTCCCCCATGAAGTGACGAAATCAACACGAATGTGATAAGCAATTTCATTATGTAAACACACGCTGCTTTTATAATTTTACACACTTATCAAATCCAACAGTCATCTACACCTGGTTTTGTTATCTTTACCGATTGGCCAATTTGACAACGCAAAAATGACCCCATGCTGAGGAACGATGATTAAGTTGTTATATAATATAACCTGAGATTTTGTAGTAAATTCTGGTTTAATATAGCTGCTTTGATAAGGTTATTAGCCGCATTAAATAGTGAAACGTCAGTAAAAACAGTAATATCGTTTTGTTTTTCATTCACTCATTGGGAAATACAAAAACCTTTATTCTAATGAATATCAGATACCCAATACCCAAATTTTTTCAAACTATTAAAAGTGAACTTGATTTGGACATAGCATAATTCAAATTAAAGCGTAAGTAGGGAGAAGGATAGCCTACCTACTGTAGCCTCCTTTTGACTATTGTGATTATTACTGTTACTGGCTCGGTAAGCAAACATCCTTTCTACTAACTGACTGTGTATGGTAAAAGACTTACTCATTGTAATTTTTTTCTTCGAATTTCAGTCTTCTACTAAAAAATCCGATGATATGGATGTTGATGATGATGGTGAGGAGATTGGAAAGTTGAATAAAGACAGTGCTGAACGTCAAGCTCGGTTCGATTTATCCGGCCTAGTTGTTCCACCTAATGCTGTTGTAGATACTCACTTGGGATTGCATCATCATGGGGAAGAACCAGAGGTAAGAACTGAAATCATCTGTTTATATTACTCACCGCTTTTTCATTCATATATATGGTGCAGAATGTTATTTCTTTAGATTTGATGTTGTAAGTAACTGCTTGCGTAGTTACTAATCACTGTAGTCCCAGCCGACAACTGCTACCTTGTCGTCGTGGTCAAGCTTGAATACCGCAGTGAACCAACAAGATAAACTGGTTGGGGACTCATGTTCTTGCAGGTTTTACCATGCCAGGAGGGTTGTTTGGATAGCGGTTAGACTAAAAACAGTTACTATGGGGGGGGGGGTAAATGGGCTCCAGAATCCAATCGGATCAAATGGCGTATGAACCTATATTGGTCACCGGCAACCATGGGAATGCAGCTCCTGACACTGCTCCGCTGCCTTGCGGATTAGATTCCAAGTCAAAGGTTTGCAGGGTGGTCCCTTAAGAAAACCACCTGCTTCGGTCTGGGCTCCCTGGCAGTGTCTCAGCCCTCACACAATAAATGAAATGAAGCAACAAACTACCAGTGAAATTTATCGCGCGCTCGTAACAGTGGTTTCAGGCAATAATGATGTCTCAAGTAACGCATCGCTTTCCAACCTTACTTTTATTTTTGTACATTGACTCCTGTATTTTACCTTTGCTAACCTTGACGTCTTCACCTTCGACAGCCTTTCGCCTTTGTCTGAATTCCCAGCCTATCTATGCCGTTTCAAGATGTTGGTGAGTAGCCTTCAAAGTGGTTGTCCCCAATGCGACATCTAACACATGTATCCTGTAACCACGTGCCGCGTTCAAGCTAGCCACCTACAATGTTTGGATACTGATGCAAATCGGACAACAGGCAGGGTTGGTAAGAACATTGGAAGGCTTCGCTATCGACGTCTGCTGCATTTCGGAGACCCGCATTCAAGATCCCAGTGAAGTGCTTCGATTATCCTCTCCATCTGAAAGTTCCAGTGGTATGTACCACCTGCGCTTGTCCGGGGATCCTGTGGCGTTGGCATCCGGCATAGCTGGTGTCGGTGTCGCACTAAACGCTAGAGCCGAAGCCGCATTACTTGACTGGATACTCATTAACGCCTGGTAAACCTGGCCTCTCCGATCTGAGGATGTAAGGCGGCTCTCCATATTCGATCATTGCTGTCTCCGCAGGATTGCTTGCGTTCGATGGCATCATCGCGTGAATAATTCTGAGGTTCGGTGGCGTGTGTTTGGACACAGTGGAGATCACCATTTGTTGAGTGTCGTCATCTGGAAACACCGGCGTCGGTGGCTTGGACATGTGCTGCGAATGTCATCCCAGAGGCTTCCGTACAGGTCTCTGTTCGCTAGTCCTGGGACGGGATGGAAAAGGCGCAGAGGTGGTCAGTCCATGACGTGGCGTCGCGGGATGAAGGATATTTGTACTAGATTAGTATCGGTTGGTGCGTCACGGCTCCCTGGTTGGAGTCGGAGAGATAGCTCGAGTCGAATGCTCGAAACGTTTTCGGATATGGTCAAGAATCGTAATCAATGGCGAACGTGTTGCAATTTCCTTCTCTCTTCCCTTTCCGATAATAGTTGACGAATACTGTTTGAACAGTCTGAGTAAAGGATGGTAAAAAACCCTATGAGTTTTTTGGGTAACTGCATATATATATATATATATATATATATAATGGTTAAACCGCTTAGTGGGACGATTTGGGTTACACCTTAACCCCTGGTCCTAAACCCAACTACTAACCGTAATCTAATAATAATAATAACCCAGTTCGCTCAAATGGTTAGCTAGAATTTGAATAGCTCGAAATGATTTGACTCCCTGAAGTGACTTGAACCAGGTCCGAGGGGAATGGCTGTCTAGTGTTTTGGAATCACTTCGATCTGGCTAACAAGCAATCACTACTGATTGAATGTGCCTGGCATCCAGCTACTCATATCAGTCGATCAGTAGTATATGTAACCATGCATTAATCACTAAATTTAAGGACAAAATAATTGAGCGAAGAATATCCTTTTCGATAGCTTCCTCCTCTTCTGCCTCTACAATTATGTATATGCATGTTTATATACATAGAATATTCTAGATTAGTAGTCAATAACAATATTAGTGTGTTTTAAATAATATCGATTTGTAAAGTAAGATCAATGGGATTACAGTTCATTAAAGATGCTTAATAATAATAAAAATATAATAGCAAATAGAATATCAACTAAAATTAGTGAAATTTCCACAACGAACTGACGATCAAACCTGGATGGCCAAGGTAAGGATAATGTCTGAACTACCTTCTTTTGGACACATAAATTAGGCTTCTCAATGTGGATTCCAACAGCCTCAGCAATATTTAGTAATCGAACTCTTAAAACGAAGTTAAGATTTGTTGGTATGCGGTAAATGACTTTGAAAGCCGCCTGGTTAACATCAGTCTTGTGGATACAGAACATATAGACATGGACGTTGGAAGTGGAAGACATGAAACACCCAGCTAGCTTTCTTTGATCATCGGTACCTGCGTTCTATCTCCCGTGTTAAGTGGTATACTGGGGTGAGCAAACTTGAGGTTAGGCTTCGATCAAGTACTAGGTAAGGAGGGGAAATCACTTGCTGGGGAAATCAATAGACGAGGTTGTGAAGTTACACCGATTGAGATGGTTAGGGCATATGTTACTCGCACATGCCCACCCATCGTCTTCCTCAATGGTTAGCTCACATAAGATCGAGGAGGTTGGAAAACAGCTACAAGGTGGCCAAACTTATATGTGGCTTCACCAGACAGTGAAATCCACAACAGTTACTTTGCGCCACTTAGGAAGGTGTAGACTTCGTGGACGGTTGAGGTCCTCTGGGCTGTAAAAACCAAAGACAGCTGGAGACAGTTGATGATATGACTGGCTCAAAATCGTTGTCAGTGGCGCAGATACATTCACTCTTTGTGATGATTTGTCACATCCAATAAAACTATTGTTCTTCTATATTACTATTCTTTTTCCATCACACTTCTGTTTATTGTTTCTCTTTTGAATCTCTTTACTTTCTTCTGTTGCTTTGTCTGATAAGTGAAGTGTGGCGACTCGAACTGCTGAACATCATTGCAAAGTTCTACGTTGAAACCAGTCAGATAGTCAGTCATGCAGACACCTATGATCAAAGACAACTGGCATTTTCATATCCTCCACTTTCAATAGTGCAACTTTTAGTTGTTTACATTTCGAAGTTGTGTATGCAAACTGTTGAAAAGTTTCAAGCTAAGTCAAAGCAGTTGTCCAGTGCTTTTCGCTAGTCCTCTTCCTAAAGAATTCTATCTTAATATCCATAAAGTGTTCGAATATTTAGCTTTAATATGACAATTATTATATCACAACTCATCCTAAATCCAAAAAGTCGTTATTTCTTATTGGCAGAGTGTTTCAAAGTTTGTTATGAGTTTTTGTGACTTCCCGTTGTTTTACTTTTTTGTTCGGAAGGGATCTACTTCTGTTGATACAGAGTAGACATCTGGAGCTATGGCTCGTCAGTTCAAATACTTGACCTTTAAATAAAGTGTCTAAAATTGAGATTGGTAGAATTATAAGCCTTTGTGCTTTAAATATGCGTCGGTTCGTTCATTGGCAGAATGCTCGTGGACCACGCATAAAGTCCGGGCTCGTTTCCCAACAGGTTCACTCCTAAACGCCGCTTAGCTAGTGATAAGTATAGTAAAGAGGGAAGGTTGGGGATGAGACTAGCAATCTCATCCTATGAAAAAAAACAACACCAACGCTATGGAAACCCGCTTAAAATGTAGAAAGCCGTGACCAGCAGGTTGAAGATGAGGCAGTAACTCATCAAAGAAGACATTGCGAAATGGTCGTGCTATGTCGTGAATTGGCAGAATTTAGAATTAATGGGCTGGCCATTGGATCGGGTCCCAGTGGGTCAATCGTCTACGAGCTAGCTCGCCTTGTAACTAGAAGGTCCTGGGTTTGAACCCCGGTGGGTGCGTGCTGCTGAAGAGTCCAACCAAAAAGTCCTTATAAAACCAATACTTGAAAATTAAATGTCGATCTCAGACTACTGTTTATGAAACCTGTGCAGCGCAACCCCATTGCCTTACGTAATACTTTCTTTTGTGAATACCTCAATGCATTTGCGTATGTATATTTATATGATTTTCAGCGCTTTATTCATCTTCGGATAAGTATAATCCATAGAAAATGTGGAAACGAATTTCTTTGTAATACAATACTCTCTTATACTTATTTCTAATTGTCTAACACTTCTTCTTTTAATCTTTGCTTTTTAGAGAGCTGGTTATACAATCGGTGAAATGTTTCACTTATGTCGTTCCAGTGTACCAGCTCAACGTCGCCTAGCATTATCTATGCTAGCATCAGCATTGGCACAAACACGTCGTGGCAAGCATATTAGTTATTTAGCTCCAATCGATTCGCCTAGTCTAATCACCTGTCTGCTATCATCTAAAACAAGCCTGTCTGAAAATTCAACTGAAGTGACGAAAAATAGTAGTGGCGGTGGATCCGGTGGTATCCTCTTCTTATTACGATGGTGTTTAGACGAGGCCGTGAGTACACTTACTAGCACAAATGCTGTCGGTGGAGATAATAGTGAAACGTGTGGTGGTGCATCGTTAACACTAGTTGTTGAGTGTATTCGTTGTTTGGCTAATTTAATTTGTGATACACAAGGAGAGGTTGGTTTAATGTGTTGCAGTTATTATATATTTTTGGTTTGCTTAATGTTTTTTTTCTCTATTGAAAGTAGGTCTATTTTTGCTTTTAGTTCACTCTTATGCTTTGCAAATGTTGGGCAACTCAAGGTGTGTTACGATGACGTCTTCTAGTTTGATGAACATATTATTTGAATAATGGGCCATTTAGAAGACGAATTTCGCGAGATGATATCGTCATTTCGTAGTTTCTTTACAACTGCTTTATAACTAACATGGTTAACAATAATAAAATAAAGTTGATGACAATTACTCAGTTATATAAAAAACTAAAGTACATACTAATGACCAATCATATTTAAATAGGTCAAGTTATTATTATTGTTTCCTTCAATTCCTAGATGAACATAGCGCTTCAGCCGTGCGTCTCCATTGCTTTCGGTTCTCTGCTAGAGTCTTCACCTGGCTCCAAGTCTGCCCACACGTTTTCATCTCCTCTTCACATGACCTCCTCCAAGTCACCCTTGCACTAACGACCAACTCGCCTCTTCCCTTTCGGGTCCCACTCGAGCGACAGCTTGTCTGGTGATGTCACTTGATGGTTTCCTCAGAGTATGGCCAACCCACTCCATCTCAATTTCTTCCTGCGTATTTGTTTCACAATCGGTTCCTGCTGGGTTGGTTCGCTCCCAGGGGTCCTTCACGATTGCTGATCTTTTCTGGCTGGCCATCTGATCTTGAGTATTGAGCGAAGACAACTGTTAATGAAGGTCTGTAGTTCGTTTGAGATGCTCTTTATGACGCGCAGTGCAATTCTCTGATCCGTATAGTAGCACTGACTGACTTCACATTGGAGTTGAATATCCGGATCTTATTTTTGATGCTGAGTGTTGTTGACCTCCACACAGACTTGAGAGTATTGAAAGCTTGTCTTGCTTTTCTGATTCTTGCTTTGATACCCTCGTCAGTTCCAGTCAGCTGTGGTTGAAACGATGCTTCCCAGGTAAATAGGTAAAAGAGGTTGTTTCTCTCAGGTTCCTTCCATTTATGCTGATTGTTGTCTGTTGTTTGGTTGCTGTTGGTGATGTTGCCCGGGAACTTTCATCACCTCTGTCTTCTCTATGTTCACCTGAAGTCCTATCTTTGATGCTTCTTCTGTCCACTTGTTGCTTTTCGCTTGCATATCTTCCAGTTTGTGGGAAATCAGACATATATCATCGGCGAAGTCCAGATCCTCCGAGTTTTTTGTGTGAGTCCATTTTATGCCTGTTTCCTCATTGCCCGTTGTTTGTCGCATTATCTAATCTACTGCAATCAGGAAAATCATTGGCGATAGTAGGCAGCCTTGTCTTACTCCTGTCCTCACTTGGAAGGATTCCGTAAGTTTCCGTAAGTAAGGTCAAGTAGCCCATGGTAAGCGAAGGTTGAAGTCTATTGTTTTTTGTACACACGCTTTAGGCTGTGTGTGATTAATCCAAAGTGCTTCCATCACCTTCAATAACCGTGAATTAGAGTTTTGTCCTCTTGGTTTCCGAGTGGAACACAGGGCTTCAACAGGGTATCTCCACTTTGTTCTATTCTCTGCGGTCCTCGTTAGCTTACCCAACGACTGCCCATAGTCTTTCATCTCCTCCTCCTCCTTCTCACACGATCTCCTTGCTACTCTTGGAAGCTCCTAACTCGTCGTTTCCCATTCGGGTTCCCCTCGAGTGATGACATGGCGGGCAATGTCATTCGACAGTCTCCTCGGTGTGTGTGTATGTGTTTGTGAGCACATTGCTAACTTATTTGGATGTTGTTGACTAGTTGTGGAATCCAGGATGCGTATCATCTCGTTGCATTTGACGCTCTTTAGCTAGATGGGCTTGTATCCCTAGTGAGTGGTAATGTCTTTCGATTCCAGTGCTAGCTGCAATCGAATAAACAACATCGTGTCGACCTTCAGATGTCGTTGTATCGTCTGCACTTGGAGTTGACATGTCAACAGAAATAATAGCAGCAGCAGCATTTCGATCCAATAAAAAGTTAGTCAACTAGAAAGGCAAAATAATAGAAAGAATTATTGCAGGCTTAGTCGACAGAATTTATTCAGTTGTAAATAAAATGTTCTGAGTTATTCTCCACGTTTCTAGGAGATTTAGCTAGTATGATATACCTCAGTGTGTATGGATGTGTCAAAAGTTACCTTGACAACTCGGGAATAATTGTTGTCTCAATCCAATCATTTGTCAACACTTCATTACACCTGTACCAGTCTGCTAAACTGTATAGATGATACGTAAACTCACAATTATTGTAGAAAATTTCATACAATGATTCTCTTTTATAAATTTGAACAAAGAAAGAAGAAACACTGGCGCAGAATAATCTGGATCCATTTTATTTCGTCGGTTCTCATCGGCTGCGTACAACCTGAAATCTTTAATAAAGTAAAAAAGTGTACAGTTTTAACAAACTGTTGTCAATTAGCAAGCATATTGTCAGAGCGTCTTAGTAAAATAAGGCGTTGCGATTTACAAGGTGTCTAAAGTGTTACGACCTATTATATATATATCTTGTTAGAGAGAAGTTTCTTGAAAAAAATTAATTAACAGTTGTGTTGTTCGGGCGGTAACAAAAGAAAATTAGTAATAGTTTCGTAATTAGATAAGAGAAGATCAAAATTTCGGTTCATATGAGGTCAGATGAAAAGTTGATAATGTAATACAGTGAGCAGAACTCAGAAGATCAAGAAAAATTATCTATTTACAGAGTCAAGCAAAAAATAAAGTGGGGGGGGGAGTGAAAAGATAAGTTAACAAAATTAGAAAACAAAGAGTTACAAAAAGTGAGTCACCAGGGTAATTGAAGTCCAACAACGGATTCTTTTTGGACACATAAGTCAGGCTTCAATCGTTTTATTGCTATAGCTTCAGCAAACCTGAGAAGACTTGAGGTACTTTGTCTGTTAATTATTTTGAATGCTTCCAGCACATCTACTAGGTCTCCTATGTCAATCAGGTGTTTGGCGATTGAAGAGCTTAAACAATTCGGTCCCTTTAACCGGAGGCTTCTTAGTACATGTTCGCAGAATCAGACGTAGGCCCTCCTCTCTTTTCTCCCAATGTAACATGTGAATTGGTATACACAGTTGGAGGTAACATGTGAGGGGTACTTGTCAATCTTTGACTGCACCAGTGAGGAAGTTGTTCGGAGTAGAGAGACTAATAATACGTCCTAGACAGGACTGCGCTTAATCTTTTATTTACCATTCTCATAATGTCGTCGCCCTTGTAGTCGATTTTGATGAAAATAGGCTTCTTACTGGCTGTAGCTATATCAAGCTTCTTGAGTTCATTCTCGCCATATTTGTTAATGAAACCTTGTGGGTAACCATTTTCTTTCAAGCATTTTTCAAGAAACATTAGTTCACTGTCTAGTTTGTTTGGTGAACATATTCTCTTCGCTCTAGAGAAAGGCGTTTTCACCAGCGTTCGTTTGTATCTCACTGGACAGAAGCTGTTGAAATTCAAGTAAAGACCACTCCATTAGTCTTTACGATATACAGATCTTTGAATGTCCGTCGTATTTTCTCTACAGCTTTACGTCCAAAAATGGAATTTCTCATCATCTTCATGCTCCATCGTGAAAGTGATGCTTTTGTGTACATTGTTGAAAGAGTCTAATAGAGACGAGGCGTAACCCAAATCATTGCATACAATGAATGTATCATCAACATATCTATAGTAGGCTATTATTTCGCCGATTGCACACTTGAGCTTTGTCTGTTCCAGACTGGCCATAAAGATATCAGCTAATATCGAACCCAGTGGACTTCGCATTGCCACTCCATCAACCTGCCGATACATTTTGTTGTCAAACTGGAACTGTATATCATTAGTACATAACACGAGAAGCTGCTTAAATTCCAGTTTTGGTAGAGGAAGAAGATCAGAGTGTTGACAGATGATGTCTATTGTTTCATGCAGGGGATCTGCGTGAATAGGGAAGTCACATCGAAGGAAACCATGATTTTGTCATGTGCATTGAGTTGATTCACCTCTTCAACAAATTGGAAGGAGTCTTTTAGAGTATGTTTAGCTAGAAGTTGTCTGACAGGTTCTAATCTATCGGCTAGCCAACGAGCAACTTTGTGAACAGGTGAATTCACCATTGAGAGTATTGGTCTCACTAGGCAATTCTTTTTCTGTAGATGTAGAAAAAACAACAGATTCAGCAAAGAAATATGCATTTCTTTTTTTAGCTAGTTCTTCATCGTCCTCTCCACAATAATATCTAGTCTTCTACATAAAGATTGTACCAATCAGGTGGTTATTTTGGTCAATAAGAATTATCAGTTTTACGTATAAGGTGATGGTGGATGGAGGTGAGAATAAGAGGGTTTAAAAGTCATCAAAACAACTAACTAGTAGATATTTTAGCAACAAGATATCTAAGTTTTGAAGGAGGAGCGGTGAAATTAATTACGGAATTCAAGATGAGTTAATTCGTACTACTGATTGGACACTAGTTAGTAACTAGTATTGTAATGTGTCCAGTCCCCTGTTTGGTGCAGACTGAATTCTGTTGTCAATCAAGTTTGCAAGGTGGCTCGCCATCACGGCGCATTTTGAATAGTTGATATTATATGGTTGGAGACAATCGGCACAAAGCTTTGGACTTGGGTTTCGTGCTAATTGGCACTCACCAGTCAGTCAGCAAGGCGTATCTGCAACTTCCTTGAAGGAACTCATATCCCTCCTTCTGAGATTCGAACCTGCATCACGCAATGCTGCAATCAGAGACGTTACCACTGAGATATTCCGGCTCGGGATTGACCTCCTGTAGGACTGTAGTGGATACTTTGATTTGACACTAGTAACTAATGCGATATGTCTAGTCCTGTGTTTGCTACAGACTGAATTGCCAATGTGACTGATAGTTACTAACTAGTGTCCAAGCAGAAGTATCTAATGCAGACCTACAGGAGATCAATCGCCAGCCCAAACAGCTGAGTGGTAACGTCTGTGATTGCAGCACTGCGTGATGGGGGATTTGAATCTCAGAAGGGACATGAGTTCCTTCAAGAAGGTTGCGGATACACTTTGCTGATTGGTGGTGAGTGCCAAATAGTACGATACCTGGGTCCAGGGCTTCCTGCCGATTGCTTCCAAGCATCTAATATAAACTATTCAGAGTTAATTCGTAGAGGATAGCAACAAGTTGTTGCATAATCAAGAAATGTATGAAATAATGATTCCTAAATACAATAGAATGACTTAAGTAGAACTATTTGAGATACAAACAAGTCAAATGAATTAGCTAGAATTGTAAACATAATAAAATAACAAAGTCAAAAGATAGTTACAAGGGTTTGGGGGAAATCGTTTGTAAAACTCAATACATATTACATAGTTGGCTACAGCAAAGAAAGGCGCTGTACAAATTTCTTTTGGCTTGTTCAGATGTATTTCGATTGTCTCTGTTATGTATGTTAAATTTGTACTCGTAGACCATGAGAAAGTTTGGGTGAAATACGACAAATAATATTAAAAGCTTTGTTAGAGTCAACTTGATGTCCAATATCGACGAGAAGAGCTAAACTAAACTTCATGTAGCTTTATTCAAACATTTGCCAAACGAAGAAGGGAGGTGTTTGGAAATTCGACGATGAACTTGCCTGATCTTACGTCTAATGTAGCTAGTACTATAGGAGCAGTTCAACTAGTAACTATGCGTGGAAGATGCGAAACAGAGCAGTTTGTTTTTATTTCTTAAAATGAGTATTGGTTGGCTAGTGAGTAAACAGCATAACTTACTTACGTTAAAAGTCATTTTGTTAGGCCTTTCTCACTCAGACGTTGTGATAAAATCTCACTACTAACATCTCCGGTGGATTGCGCTCTTAGGAACACTGATTTTTCGGAATTTTGCGCACCCATGTCTGTTGACTCTTGCTAAGTCCATCTGTCTATTCAAATATTCTGTCAGATGTCGGTTTCCACTTAATAGATCGCGAATAATACCGAGTTCTTCGTCCAGTTTTAAATTTGAACAAATAACTCTAGCCCGGTGGAACAAGCATCTAACCAAATTACGTTTGAATTGGTGAGGAACGAAATTCAGAAAGTGTGAGTGTACTGCTTAGTTGATGGTTGGTCTCCGATGCAACAGTCTACATACTGTTCCGTCTGCTCATTTAGTCATTAGGATATCCAGAAACGAGACAGAGTCATTTTGTGTAGCATATGTAGTATAGGATATTTTACTGCTATTCAAGGTCAAGGGGTCACCGGTTAGCTTTTCTTCTCGGGGATCTAGACCATTTTGGTATCTCTAGTGAACTGAATAAAGAAATGAAATGTTACTCAACATTTACCTACAATTCCATACAGTTGGCGATGGGAGACATACCTATTGTGTGAGGGCTAGTGATATATGACTGCCTAGATGTTGATGGACCGAGCGCGGTTCGAATCCCTTACCCACCGTTTTTATGATAATCATAATAATCTACTTTATTCCAAAAACAGTACTTATAATAAAGAATGGAATTCTCAGCATTTGTCACAATATTGTATCTGATTTACTCAAAATATAAATAAAATCAAAAATTAAAACAAAATTGACCAGAGGAATTTGTTCACATTTACGGTATAAGGTCAAAAATATTCGAAGCATGAAATGAGAATATTAAAAATAGTAATATTAATAACAGTGAGTTTGTTTCAAACAATATTGTCGATTCAGTTTGGAAACTTTAGCATGTTATAGATTATTGAATCTAATGTTCTGTTGATAGAGTATAGTGAGGGGAAAGATAAAATTAACAGTTATAATGCAGCTTAAATTATGTTCACACTTATGAAAAAATAAACAAATAAATACAAAAATTGAGAGGATTATAAATATAAGAAGTACAATAACAATAAAGCTTTATGTTGTAAGGGTGGAGATAATGGTTTATTTACTAGTGCAAAGAAGGTCAGTTAGTTCATGCCTGACAGTATTTTCGTCACACAAAGTACGTCCCAAATATGGTATCGCGGAATTGTTATACTTAGACGTACGTGCATAAATTCTTCTGAAAAGACTTCTTGTTTTACCTGAGGAGACACAAGGTTGGAGCAGCGGGTGCTGCAGTGGATGCTCACAGTCTGACAAAGTTGTTTTAGCAAATTTGTTGCATGAAATCAAGCACCCATCATCAATGACCATGTCAACGATATGGCCCAATGGGATGGGATACCACTCGCCCTACTGACAGCTAGTCTTCAGAGTTCTACCAAGTATGACATAGTCTTTTTTAAGTAATCCAGGAAAGAATGAGAGTGAACAGTAAAGAAGAATAGGTAAGATGCACGAGTTGACAAACTGTAAGAGGAGGGTGTGGTTGAATTATGCCTGATTGCCTCAACTTCTTAATATAAAAAGTCAGACGAAATATTCTTTTAGAAATCGCTAAGATATGGGAAGGTTTGGAAGTCGACCGCTTAAAGCAATAAGCCACAGCTCCATGAACTGAATGGTTATATATATATTCTGTCGTGTGTTCTACAGGAAGGGGATCTTTTTTCTCCTTTAAAAACAACCGTGAGAGTAAGTGTTCGATGACACGTGTGGAAAGCAAACGCAAAGTACGGCCTACATACTTAGTTCCACAGAAGCAGGTGAATTGATAGGTACACATTATTGAGACCATCGTGCGTCGGTGGCATAGCGGTTAGGACGCTCGCCGACCATGCACATGGTCCGGGTTTCGATTCCCGGCCATCGACGCACTCCTTCACCTCGCTAAGCCAGAAATAATGCTGGCAAAGAGGAAAGGTTGGGCATGAGGCTAGCAACCTCATCCTGTAAAAATTAAACACTGCTACAGAAACTTCAAGACACTAGCTTGAGGCCCTGTGTTCCACTAGGAACGTGAAGGATAATAAAAAAATGAGACCATCAGTGGTAGCTTATCCTTCACATTCATGCAAATCATTGATTTTGTGTAGAAAGTTAGTCGCAGTTCAGCCGTGGAAATTATAAATGACTAAAATATGGCCCACGATATTTAGTACATTATTTTAAAAGATTTCATAAAATTAAAATTCCCCTCTTTTCTATGAATATACTCTTTTTTTTATTAAATAGATTTTTCTCAACTACGCACATGAATGGCCGATTGAATTAATTCACAAATCGTGTTTATTTATTGCTCCACCTGTTCCACTGATTAATCCACACAGAAAAACTCAACAGTCATCAGCTAATACTGATGATGATGATGGGGATAATGAAGAAGGCAATGACAGTGAGTTAGCTGCCACTGATCCAGTTGAATTTCTCTTCTTACGCTCACAATTAGCCCGACGGATTGCTTGGTTATTAGCTCCGGGGAAAGGACGTGCCAGTGTATGCCTACCAGCGGATGCTGCTGGTCTTTGGTTGCCGAGTTTAATTATCCGAGGTATACGTCATTCACCTTTAGTAGCTTATGAGGTAAGCATTGTTAAATATTTACCTTGTAGAAATATTTATTACTGTGATGTCTTCTTTTTGCGTGAATCATGTTCCACATTACTTCAACTTGTTTTCTGTAATAACTTGAATAACTCTTTTAAGGATTTCCAAGGGTTGGTTTGTTGGGATTCGATTTGTTTCATATTTGATCACGGATACATATCAATTACAGACCCATCGGGAACCTGGGAGTACTGGGCAGCTGTTTCGTCCTAGTTTGGAACTCTTCAGAAGTACGCGCCCATGACGCGCCACTGGGGATTGAACCCTAGACCTCCATTTTACGAGGTGGAACTGGTTGAGCATTCAGCCAATTGGGTCCCGTGAATTCTAAATTTTATCACTTTGTTTATTTATTTATTTTATTCCTTCACTTTCCGAATGGAACATGCCGCTTCAAGCTACAGTTTTGAAGTTTCGGTAGCAGTGGTATTTATTTTTACGGGACGGGGTGGGGTTGCTAGCCTCATGCCCAACCTTCCCTCCTTAATTGTCTTGTTACTAACTTAGCGAGGCGAACGAGTGCGTCGATGGCTGGGAATTGAACCCCGGACCACATGTGACGTGGTCGGCGAGCATTCTACCTCTGTGCCACCGACGCACTTCGTTCATTATTCAATACCAATTTGAATGGGGTATGAACATTCAGTCAGAAATTGTCGTTGTAGATATTTAAGACCAATTTTGATGAGTACTGCTACTATTACAAAGATTATTACTTTGACGGCAGTATCGGTTTGGCTTTGGATGTCATGTGCTTATGCTTTGGCTTTGACAGCTTATTATATTCGTTTAACAGGAGGAAATAAATTCTTATAAGATAGACCAAAATACGTCATCTCTGGCGTAGACGTGGTATCGGGCTATTGATCAAGGAACGTGTGTACTTCATGACTGTGAGACATGGCCTTTGAAGATGAAAAGTGTGAAGAAGCTGGCTATCTTTGATCCTAGTACCTGTGCTTCATTTCTCGTTCCAGGTAGTCTGTAATAATGAGGTCAAGCGTAGAGTGTGTTAGGTAAGGAAGAGGAACCAATTGAAGGGGTTATCGAAACACTTATCGATTGGGATGGGCAAAACATGTGTTACTTATGCGGAGCCATTGCCTACCTTGACAATGAGCAGCATTATCCAACATAGGGAAATGATGACCACATCGTTCAAATCCGTTCAACACTAGTTTCTTATATATTGTGATCCTCTAACGTGTGACTACAATTCATGAGTTAAATGACTTTTGAGTTTTTGATCCTGTCTTTACTTTTTGTTTCATATTTTACATATGTCTCATAAGTAGTAACTTCCTATGAATAATAAAAAAAGTTTAATACACAGTTATTATGCAGCAACAGAAGAATACGTCTGTTGTTTCAAACATAAAATTCAACCGTTTTATGAACAATTTAATAATTCCCATTGTAACATTAGGAACACAGTATTCATTCTGCGAAGAGACTCTTTTCAAGAACGAATTTATTATCAAGCTGTACAATCGTATATCTATATGATGTTTTTAAGAAATTATATCCGGTGAGGGAATTAGATCAAAGGTGTGAATACATGAAATAATAACTATAGTAGTATAAAATGCAATTAAAATATTTGTGATTATAATCATAGTTTAATGTCATACATATAATATTACATGAGGTGTATAGATGTTGTTGGAAAAGGGGTACATAATTATAGGATTAGTAGGCAAATATAAAGCACTACGTAACATGGTGTGAAATTTGATAAGATAGAATTCAGTATTGCAAAGAAAGATAATAATTTTGGATTTAGAATGACAGGTGGGACAAGCGGAAACAATTCAGAGTGAGAAAAGTAATAATGATAATGATAATAATAATAATAATAATAATCGTAGTAATAAGGGAAAAGCACATAGAATAACTAAATAAGCAAAATAAATAAATGTCTATCCCTCTACAGCCAGGGTAGAAGCAGGGATTGTACATACTTCTTTTGTACACAAAGGTCTGGCTTATATTCATGAATTGCCAAAGCCTCCACTGTCTTTAGAATTCTGTAACGAAGAAAACGCGGCAAGCAAGTTAGCATGGATTCGGTAGGTGATTTTAAAATCATGGTCAGGGTTCGCAGAGTGACAGAAGTCGATCAGGTGTTCCAGAATAGAGCTTCGTACACACTTCCTTTCTCCCTTGTAAAACCATGCTGCTGGAATATGTTCTCGTATCCGTATGGAAAGCGTCCTCTGACTACGGCCAATATACCTTGCTCCACAAGAGCAGGTGAACTGATAGATGCACATGGAGGCGGCCATACGGGGGAAGCTTATCTTTTACAGAGATGGAGAACAACTTGCTGCTGCTGGTGAACGTCATTTGTAATCTTATGAATGCCTATCGACAAGTAGATATTGGCTTGGTTGATTAAGTCAATTCACAATTTTGAATATTGTGTTTCTTCACAGACCAACTTCTGTTTCAATAATTATTAAGGACTAGTGATCATTAAACAGTTATTTTATCATAGTTTTGCATTTGATATAAAATCCTGTACTCTTCTAACAACTTAAAGTATTTGTATATGAATGTCTGATAAGTATGTGGGCTCTAAAACTTTGATAAGTGCATGTATCAGTTAAGTTTACTGTGAATCTGTCTAGGTTTAATCACCATGTAGTATTATTGTTTTTCGTATCACAGATCTAGGCTATCTGAAGTGGGAGTGGAATCCAGGAGGCGCATTTCATCTTATTTGGGACTCAGTAACTCGGTGTACCTGCATTCCTTAGTGGGCGATGAATGGTGTTCCCACTAAGACTTGAAACCTGTACCCATCATTCCAATCGTCAAAGCGTAAAATTAAATAAAGTCTTCCTCATTTGTTTCTCAACGAATAGTTAGAACTCAAATACTCTGTAAGAGGTTATGAGCCGCACTTATTGTATATGAGAGATGATTATACTATTCAGTTCCACCGAGGCTGAAGAAGGCGGAGACGAAATGACTAATCCATCAGAAAACTCTTAATTCCTTGAAAGGGCATGTTATTTTTAGGTATCAGTTATTTTTCACCACTATAAATGAATTAGTGCTATCCATTCTCTCCTCTCCTCTCTTCAGCTATACCAATTTAATTTATTTTTTCTACAGATCTTTCGTACACCGGAGTTAGTATCTGCTCTATTGACACGCTACCTTCCTGTTAATGAATGTCGCTCTTCCAATAAAACCAAACCAACTATTATTAATCGTCCTAATCATCTATCAACGGCGAATAACATTCCAATGCCGTCTATTCTGCGTTTATGTCGTGTTTGGATTCAAAGTTCACCAAATACTCTATTAGCATTTGTATGTTTTTTCATTTTTTTTCTGTTGAATTGCTTTTAAAAAAAAAATTATTTTTGTTAATTATTCTACAGCATTGTACTTAAATGAGTACTACCAATTGAGTATTTTTATCTTATTCGATTATTATTGGTTCTTGGGCAACAGTAAACAGTCAAATGACCTTGAACCAACCAATCATATGCGTCTAGGTAAAAAAATTGTATCTTTAGTTTAAAAAAGTATGTTTACTAGATATATAATGAAAATCAATTATGTGTAGGGGGCATATGTCCCTAATGTGCTTCAAAAAGACGTCTAAGCTTTCTATAGGATTGGCTATAGTAAGTAGACGAGAATCTGTATGAGAAGCAGTTATAGCGTCCACTAATTTTGATAAATGATTAACTTTATGATAAATACATAACTTAATGATGATTGTCACATTGCCCAGCACTTCAAAATGAATGCTGCTGTGGTGAGAGCTGGCTGCGAACAAGCCGAAAATTGTAGACAATAATTTAGGTCAATGTTTACGTCCTGAATCGGTGTCATGCGAAAAAAAACAATAACAAAGCTTAACCTTAAGGAACTTACCAACCAATCAAAGCAGACTTAACGTGTGCAAACACGATTCGTAGATATATGGCTTAACTTTCTGAGAAACGGTCACAAGTAGTACAGAATAACTTTCAGCAAGAAAACAGCCAGTCAGAAGACGTTGTTTCTCTGCTAACAATAACGATTAATAATGTACATAAAAATCTATAAATACCTCTTTATCTTATCAATAAACGATCTATTGCCTGGCTCTTGTATTCTGTCGTTACACTGCAAGTTTCACCCTAAACGCACCTTAGTCATACCCTAACCCTGAATCAGGGTGAAACTTGCAACTGGTTGGTTCAAGGCCATTTGATTGTGGTATCTATTCTCTACTGTTGCCTGGTTCTTGTTTATCGTGAAGAGATAGGCTGTGGTGTTATCTTCTATACCAACGTTTTTATATTATTGTTATTATTCCCTTGGTTTCCGAGTGGAATATGGGGCTTCGGCAACACACATCTGCATTTCATCCTGTTCTCAGCAGTCTTTTTCAGCGGGCTCCATGATTCCCCATAGGCTCATCTTCTCCTGACACGATCCCCATATCTCCCTTGGACGACTCACTTCCAACTCGTTGCCCGCCCTTTCGGATTCAACTAGATGACTTAGTGCGTGATATTACTCAACGGTGGTCTCCTCAGTATGTGTCCAATCCATCTCCATTTCCTTTAGCATATTTGTTAAGCAATATGTTTTTGGTTGTTTCACTGTCAGAGTCCCTTGTATGTATTCCTTTCTGACCATATGATCTTCAAGTATGGAGGATATGCAGATGTTGATAAAATTCTGCAGTGACCTATTGGAAATGGTTTTCGCAACGTATGCACCAATTCTCTGAATCCTACTATGACTAGCGTGTGTAGAATAAAATCTAGTCAGAACCTCTGTGCTTCTGAATTTATTAGGTTTATGTTGATAATCATGGTAGTCAAACCTTTACGTTAGCTTCATCAACTTCGACAAACAGGGTTGATCTAGAAGTAATTTGGAAACTAATTCAATATTATGGAGCGCCTCGTATGTTTATCAACCTCAATCAACATCTGGCTATATGACAATGCCACGTGTCTGGCGATCCACAACGGAAAGCTCAGCGAGGCGTTCGAAGTGCATACCGGAATAAGACAAGCCAACTGCCTATTATCACCGATGGTATTCTTAATCGTGTTGGACTGGCTTATGCGGCAGAATATGAATGGGAGCGAGGAGACAGAAATACGCTGCACTGACCGATAAGAAGACTCTAGAAGATCTAGATTTCACATGCGTGGATGATCTATGTTGAATGCCACACATACTCGAAGACTTCTAGGCGAAAAGCAACAAACTGACTGAAGAGGCTGGCAGCAAAGACAGTACTCGAGGTAAATATAGAGAAGACGGACGAAGGTGATGAAGATAACCAACCACCACCAACAGCAACAACAACCAGCACCAATCATTATCAACGGGAGAAACCTGAAAGAGGTTACTTCCTTCACTTATCTAGGAAGGAATCACGCTTTCAACCACAAGCCGGCGGGACGGATGAAGATGTCAAAGCAGACCAGAATCAGAAGGGCAAGATACACCTACATCAAACTGAGATCAGTTTGGAAATCTTTTGCACTGCACTCAGCTAGGGTAGAGAACAAGATTTGGATTCTGTGCATCACCAATGAGGGTCAGATATTTGTCCTGAGTGTCATAAGAAGGATTTCCAACGGCCTACTGCAGACTTTTATCAACAGCTGCTTTCGCTGGTTGGCTGCCTACGGAAGATCAAATGGCCCGAAAGAATTAGCACCAAAAAAAACTCTGGTAGTAGAGCTAACCAAGAAACTATCGTTCAACAACAAACTACAGCATAAAGTTGTGATTATCACTCAGGAAAACATTATCATACACCGTGAATTGGATCCTTTCCCTAAATTTCGAGTTTCTGAATCCTTTTCTAGGGAATTTAGTACTTAGAAGTTCACAGTCAGTAGTAGCTGGCGGTTTGTAGTGTATAGAGATTCCTACTAACCGACAGTTATGCTGCATTTTAAACCTAATTCTATCCTCGTCTGCGTCGTTTGTTTTTATGATGTGATAAAATGATGCAAATGCTTTCCTGTGACAAGTTGTATGCTGTATTTCAAATAACTTAGATATTCTAATGTATGTAAAGTGTCGAAACATCTCTGGCGTTAGGCGTGATATCCGGATATCGGTCGAAAGATGTGTGTACAGCGCAGCAGTTCTCTCTGTCCTTCTTCATTACCCGTGAGATCACCCGTGGTCACTGAAAGTGGAAGATTATCGGAAGACTTCTTTATTTTCTCAATGAACGATCTGTCGCCTGGTCGTTGTCTCCTGTCGTTACACTGCAAGTTTCATCCTAACCGCACCTTAGTCATACCTTAACCCTGAATCAGGATGAAACTTTCAACTAATATGAAGCAAAGCAATCATTTGTAATGCTGAGCGATCTCATTGGTTGGTTCAGGGTCATTTGACTGTGGTTATTATATTATTGTTATTATTCCCTTGGGTTCGGAGTGGAATATGGGGCTTCGGCAACACACATCTGCATTTCATCCACCCTTTCTACTATCCAATATGCACTATAGAGTCAGGTTTTTCCACCTTACTATTGTTTCTCCCGTACAATTTGTTTCATTGTAGTGCTTTTGGTTTTTCTTTTTCCTTTCCTCTCCCTTTGTGTGCTATATGGAGTGTGGCAACTTGAACTGTCCAACCTCTTTTCAAACTTCCATGTTGAAACTCGGTCCTGACAATAGCGTCCCAGGAGTACAAACGCTTCAACTACCTTGAACGCATGCTAGTGGTTGGCTAATGGCACCTGTCATTATGATATCTGAAATATCAACGCTATTCACCAGCTAAGCAGCGAATTTCACCCAGACCACGTTTTTAAGTACTATTTCGACAATGTGTTGATAGCTCATTAGGGTTAGGATTAAGGGTAAGGTTAGTGTTAGGGATAGATTTATAGTTGATTTCATTTATTTTAATTTGTTTTCCTATCCACATTTTCCTGGGTAATTAGTCTTCGATCCTCATACTGGGAACCATAGTAATTCAACCGAGAGCTTTTCGGGAAGACTGCACAACACGATAAGTGAGAGATAAACGATTGACAAAAACAGCTCATCTTCAGTCACCTCGGTGAATACATGTGCAGAAACTAGTCTAACTTAGCAACTGATACTCCTCACTATAATTGGGACGTATTTATAAGTCATGTGTCAGAGAAAGATACCCTGTGTTAATGTGTTTTCATGCATTTTCTTGTAAAAATATACGTCATTTTTTTTGTGCGAAATGTCCTCATTTCTATGATTGGTCGGCTGGAGGACGCTCGTGCCTTCGCATCCCTTGGGACGCTTATTTGTTAAACTTTGCCCTTGTTGTTTTTCCCCCTTTTCTTTTCTAGGTTAATGATCATTGTCTTGTTGAACGTTGTTTGTCTTATTTGTACTGCAGTGCTGACAACGATATAAATAACCGGGATTTAACAATAGCTCATTTAGTAGCCTTTATACATCAATCTCTTCCATTACAATTGGCTATTCAACTACAGATTGAATCAATTCGTTGTTTAGGTGTATGTGTATCGCAGGCAACAGCACCTTACAAAGCTGTTCATCTATTAGAGTAAGTTTTTTTCTTTACTTTTTATATGACTAATTGATGATTGATTGATTGTTAGCTAATTTTTATTTTTAAAAAGTATCCTTTTTGATCCATTCTAGAACACATTGTTTTTGAGATCAGATCATGGAGTTACAAAATGGGGTTTATATAAATATGGAGATTAGATGTGATAACTAAATGTGATTTACCTGACAGAATAGTTTTGGCATCATTGAGGCTGTACAGTTAGAATTTATTCTTATCATCTTAGCATCACCTGTAGTAGGTCGGTCGGTCGGTCGGTTTTCGACATAGAACTTTGCACATATGTGCGGCAGTTCAATTCGCCACAATCCATGTAGCACGCAAAGCAAGAGAAGAAAGTAGAAGAAATGCATAATATAGACAGTAAACGGAGGTGTGAGACAAAGGAATAGTAATAACGGATAACAAAACAGTTTCATTGGAAATCATAAGTCACAAGGAGTGGATGCATCTGTGCCAGCCATTGAGAACGATTTTTACCCATGTCACCAATTGTTTCCAACCATTGGTTTTTACCGTCCCGAGGACCCCAACCAGGAAGTCTACATCTTCCTACGTGGCTTAGACTAACTGTTGTGGATTTCATTGACTGTTGAGGCCATGTTTTCGTTTGACCACCGCTATCTCTTTTCCAGCCTGACCCTATATCAGCTAAGATTGCCCATTGTTGAGGAAGGCGATGACTAGGCATACGTAACACATGTCCTAACCATCTCAGTCGATGTAATTTCACAGCATCGTCGATTGATTTCCCCTCCTTACCTAGCACTCGACCGATGCCTAATCTCAATATTGCTCACCTTATTATACCACTTCACATGGAAGATAGAGTACAGGCACCTATGATCAAAGACAGCTAATCTTTTCATGTCTTCCGCTCTCAATGTCCACGTCTCACAGCCATAGAGGAGGACGGAGCGGACTGATGAGCAGTACACACGCCCTTTGGTCGATAGTCGGATATCACGTCTAAGCCAGAGACGGCGTAAACTGGCATATGCGAAACTAGCCCTCTGTATTCGTACTGAGATTTCGTCAGAGATCAACCCGTTGGGGCTGATAATACTTCCCAAGTAATTGAAGCGGTCAACGTGCTCTACCACTTCACTTCCTATTTCTAATCTAGGTGTCGGTGTAGTTCAATCCTGCAGCATCATCTTACATTTTACAGGGGCGAATCGCATGCCAAACATACGAAGATTGTTGCTCAGGGTGTTCAGGAGACTCTGCATTTTGTCAGAGTCCTCGCGTCCTGTAGTAGCGTTTTCAGGATGTGCTAGTCATGGGAATGAATGGAGGAAGCGAGAAGAGAAGGAGGAGGTGGGAGAGTGGTCAAGTCCGCCGGTGACTTGGCACCATGGGATGAAGGCTAATTGTGTGTTATAGGTTAGCATCAGGATTTACTTCGTAGATAACCTTCAAGAGATCTTGTGAATCAGTGCCTGTGACGTGTGTACTGCTCAGGAGTCCACTCCGTTCTGCTTTATGTCTGTGAGACCTGGCCATTGAGAGTGGAAGACATGAAAAGATTAGCTGTCTTTGATCATAGTTGTCTGCGTTCTATCTCCCGTGTGAAGTGGCATAATGAGGTGAGCAATACTGAGGTTAGGTTTGAGTGCTAGGTAAGGAGAGGAAATCAATCGAAAAAGCTATAAATTTACATAGATTGAGATGGCTAGGTGACGTGCTGCGCATGCCTAACCATCGCCTCCCCCTCCCGACGGGCATTACTAGCTGATATAGGTGCAGGTTGGAAAAGAGTAAGTGGTGGCCAAACAAAAACATGGCATCAATCCGTGAAATGATGGACAGTTAAATTGAGTCGGGTAGGGAGGGAGATGCAGACTTCCGGGTTGGGGCCCGCCTTCGGGACTCTAAGAATCAATGGCTGGAGACAATAGGTGACATGGCTCAAAATCGTTGTCAATGGCTTACGCAGATGTATTCAGTCTCTTTTGTAATCTTTCATATTCCTTTCTATCATTACTCATTCTGTTTCACTCTTATACTTGTCAAAACTCTATTGATTCTCTTCACTCATTTTCCTGTCTACGTTTGTGTGCTATTTGGAACGTGGCAACTGGAACTGCTGCACTTGGGTGCCAAGTTCTATGTTGAATCCAGCCAGTCAGCCCTCCTTACGTAGCACTCGGCTGATGCCTAACCCCAATATTGCTCACCCTTATACACCTAACACAGGGGATAGAACGCAGACACTTATGAGCAAAGACAGCTAGCCAGGCGTTTCATGTCTTCCATTTTCAGTGTCCATGTTTCACAGCCCTAAAGGAGGACGGAGCGGACTGCTAAGCAGTACAAACGTCCTTCGGTCGACAGGCAACCGGATGTCACATCTACTAAGCCAGAGATGGTGTAAGTTGACAAATGCCACACGAGTCTTCTGTGTCCGTGCTGCGATTTCGACAGCGATCAACCCGTTGGCACCGGCTGGTGCAACATCTCAAATAAGTGAAGTAATCAACACACTCTACCACTTCACTTCCTATCTCCAGGCTGGAAGTCAAGGTAGTTCAGTCCTGTAGCATTATCTTGCATTTGGTGGTGCCTATCTCGTACCAAGTTAGTGTGTGCTTAGACAAATAGGAATTCAGTTCTACGCATTGTCTAAAATTTCCAAACGTTAAAGAAAAGGCTAGACCTTTTTCCTGTACATTTCAGATAGATGGACAATCAATCACAGAACCTTCATGAATGATGAATACTATGTGCGTTTTTTATATCTGTCCATTTTGATCAGCACTCTGACCTGTGCAGCAGATATCAAGTATTTTTCCATTGTTTTAATGTATAATTATCAATACAGATTATCGCCCCCCCCTCACACGCTCATGTATATTTCATTTTGACCACTTGTTCTCATAATTGTCTTTTTTGAACAGGAAAAACCTGCTGAATATTTTCCACTCTGCAGAAAAATGTTGGCTTTTATACCATGCTAAGTTTATCATCAATAATGAAAAGCAGCAACAAGGTGTACATCTTGAAGAGGATCATCATTATTATTATTATCTTAGCCCACTCTTAGGCAGTTGGATCTATTTCCTAGTGGATTTATCACGATATCTTATAGAGCATAAAAAGAAGTAAGTTTTCCTTTTTTTTTACTGTATATTCATGAATGAAAGTTTACAGTGACGGATGGTTCAGTGACGGGAATACTCGCTAATCACGAATATGGTCTGGGGTTCAATCCCTGGCTGACGTACCCTGAAAACTCGCCTAGCTGGTTGTAAGCCCGGTAAATACGATAGGCTCTAGCAACCTCATCCCCTAAAAGACAAGATCACTGCTACTGAAACTTCTAAGTGTAAATTCCACTCGAAACGTAAAAGGAATAGATTTTTAAGAAGTAACTTTTCCACACACTACATGTCTTAATGAAACGCGCTTAATCACGAATCGGTAGACGTTAGAATTCATAGGCTGGTCATTGTATCGGGTCGAGTCCTAGTGGCTGAATAGTATATGAGCTTGCCTTGTCGTTTCAAAGGATTTATTTTACTCTTGTAACGACAGAAGACAAGAGCCAGGTAACAGATTCTTCATTGAGAAAATCAACAGATATTTATAGATTTTTATACACATTATTATTGGCGTTGTTAAGGGAGAATCAGCCTCTTCTGATTGGTTGTTTTCTTGCTGCTTGTGACCATTTCTTAGAAAGTTAAGCCATATATCTGCGAATCGTATTTGCACACGTTAAGTTGGCTGTGATTGCTTGGTGAGTTCATCAAGGTTAAGCTTTGTTATTGTGGTTTTTTCCCATGACCCCGGTTCGGGACGTAAACATTGACGTAAATTGTTGTCTACAATTTTGGCTAGCAGGCAGCTCTCACCACACATTCTCATCTCTTTCTTCTAGTGCTCTAGTTCAACAGCAAACAGTTCAAAGAGTCATTGAAAGTGTATTAAACTGGTGTTGTCAACTTGCGCAGCATATTATTCAACACATGAAAAGTGATCTTATCACACCGATTTGGGAGAGTTTTGAAGTAAGTTTCAGGAAACGTTCCATTACTTTTTCAGTACTTACCTTATGTCTAGCTTTTGTAATAAGTTAACAGTTCTAATATTTTGTAAGTAAAAATTTTTTCCAAGCATTTACATTTATTCATACAGAGCTTTCAGCGCGTCAATCTAGCCATCATCCACAGTTTCCTCATCATGATATGGATACGAGGCTAGTTGACTTATGCATCCGACTTTTATCTGATGATAATGAGGCCGTGGTATACAAGATACATCTCGGCTGAAGACCGGATACGAATGTCCTTCCTGTAACACCCTAAGTCCACGGAAAAATCAGAAGGAACCACTAGTCTGTGGCAGTGAGAATAACAACTTTACTAGACAAAAGTACATTGTATGTATGCACATAACCAATGGTCAGAAAATTAAGCTGGTCCAACTGCTTAAATTACTAATTTTGATTGGTTAAAGATTTATTTTAAGGTTGTCAATGATTGTCCAATCAAATTTAGCCAAGATATAACTGCTGCCTCAGCCAATGATCTAAGCTGGTTTAAACCACTTCCTATCATTTACGAATTCTCTGCATACTTTATCCTGGGCATCCAGTCAGTATCATTAGCTATGACCCATTATCATTTCTTGTGGTTTAGTTAATGACAAGTGTGATCCAGGTAACTGAATTCTAACCGCCTCCACATGAAAATAGGGCTAATGTATTCCTTATGAGTGTTTGAAATAAACAGTGGACCATCCCTTAGCTGGATAAAGCGGTTGTGTTATTGACTGGCGTCATTTGACTTTAGCTGCATTCAGTGATAGAAATTCAAACTGTTTCAGTTTTGATTTTTTTTCTTATGCTGTTATCTAACGACTTCGTCATCGGCATATCTGCTGTCTTTCTTATGGAGTTCGTATCAAGTACCGGCAAAGTTAAACTTTAAGCACCACTAACAACCAATCAGCGAATGACCTTCAGCGAACCAATCACACGAAAGGGGGAATTTCACTTGACGGAAACGTATATTTATGAAAAATAGCATGAAAACTGCGTACAACTGTTACATGGGGTATCTTTCTCTAACATGTGACAGAAACATCTCACTCTTTAGCATAGGAGTGTCAACAGAAAAGTTACGCCACATTCTGCACATATATTCATCCAAATGACTGTAAACGACGTCTTTTTGAGATCTATTTATAGCCCTAATCGTATTTTTTAATCTTCCTCAAAATCCTTCAAGGAATTCGTGTGTGTTTGTGTAATTGGATCCTCAAAATCGCTAGAATGTTTCACTCCATGATCAATTTATCCAAGGGATGACAGCGAGTTATAACCTTCCGATTCATCAGCATGTACTTTGGATCCCTGTTTCATCAATTGAGTGGCAATAGATACTAAGGTAGTAGACTTTCTGTCTGATATTCTCTTCACGAATCCTTTCTTCAGGGAGGTGTTATTTAAACCGGTCACCCAAACATTGTTAGCTCGCTCACGAGCACGGTTGTATTTTTTCTTCAGTAACACAATTTTGTCCGCGTGTATGACGACACCTTCTCCGCCTAACAACGAAGTAATTCTCTCCATTTTCCACGAGGCGATGTTTCTGCATTGTTGGTAACACTGAACTGTTGACACGAGTCTATTTTCAGTTTCAGCAGCTGCGCCTCTCACAGGCTGTTTTAAAAGCCACTAATAACAAATATACATAATCTTGGTTAGGAAGAGATGCGACCTAGCAAAAAACGTCCCTATGAAATATTAAAATCATCCCTAATACTAACTCGTCTCATGCAAAATGCACAACGATGGACATATCCATCAATCCACTTGCTAAGGCTTTTTAAACTCATAACAACTTCACATGAACAAATCGTCTCCTGCCTAAACAACCCCAAATCCAGGCAATACTGCGAAACTTTATCCTCATCTAACTGCAGGCGTAACTTCGTTAGAGCAGGCATTCGCTACAAATCAAGTGCAATACAACCTTGAACTCACGTAAATGAACCTCATTGGACCATTCGAGGTAGTTCGCTGATTGGTAGTTAGTGGTGCTTAAAATTTAACTTGGCCCAAGTACCATTTGAAGACGCTTCTTCGCGGTTGGTCTTCTTTATTTTCGAGATTTCTTCACATTTGGTGTACTGCAGATCGCATTTATAATTTGCTCTGAAAATAAAAGTTGAAAACCACTTTTAGAAATCACACATTTCTATTCGCAAGATAAATGGAATTCAACATCAACTCCAATGACCAAGATGTTAGACGGCGGATTAACTTAGGTAGAAAAGTCAAACTAAAAACTTAAACTTTCACCAATGGAAGAGCGGGAAACAAAAGGTCCCGATACATAAACACTTTTCAACCTATCCTAGTAGCGATATGTACCTGCAAGCATGAAACTTAGTTCCTGGGCTTTCCGCAATCTCGAGTCATCTGACTTGCAAACTTGACTGGTAGAATTCAATCAACGCTAGTGCTAAGGACTAAACGCATAACATTGGTTAGGCTCTGGTGTTCAACCAATGTACACGCATAAAGCATATTGCACCCTTACTTTCTCTTATGTAGGACACTGAAAATGATGTCCAGATTGACACTGTAAGCTTCATAGAAGACACGTGCTCTTTTGGAGAGCAGAAGAATCTTCGGAACACTGATTATTCAAGCTGCAAATATTTACGATCAGAAGTCTATCGGCTTTCCTGCTACCGCCCCTTAAATATATATATATATATACGACTTATTGAAGTAGAAGTGGAAACTAAGAACCCTCACTGTCATTTGAAAATTTCTTCAGAATTGATTGACGACGAAACAGAGAAGTCGGTTTGAGAATTGAAGATATGGGGAAAAGGCTAATGCAAATAAGATACTGAAAGGTACCAAAACTTATTGTGGACCCGGTACTGCCGAGAATGGGTAGACTTTAGTTTTCCTCTGGAGATCCTCTCATATGGTAACGCGTTCGTAACCTCTACAGAGTAAATCGTATTTACTACCTTCATGGGCTGGGTGTATTCCTCACGGTCGAATGCGAACATCTGGCACTTAGGACAGAGCTGATGGACTTACTGGTCTTCTTAGTGGAACTGAAAAACCGTGATTGAAAACCTATGGGTTCCATAATCTGAACGAATCAAATAGCATATGAACCTGTTTCGGTTACGGGAAACCTTGGGGACGCAGTTCCTGACACTGCTCCACTACTTTGCAGACGAGACTTCAAGTCAAAGGCTCGGGATGTGGCTCCATCTGCCTCTGTATGGCGCGTTTCTTAGTTTTCATAATGTAGCATATTTGCATTTCAGATAATGATAATAAATTGTTGATAAGAAGGACCTGTCGTTCATCAAATATGTAGGAGAAAGTGGGGATGGATTGGGCATAAGTTGAAGAGGCTGTCGAACGACATCGCGTACAATGCAGGCCATCGCTTCAGTGGGTCTTCGTACTTTGACATGGAGTAGATCGTGCGAGGAGGAGGAGATGAGAGTTAATGGGCAGTCGTGGACCCAGTTAAAGATGATAACAGAAAATAGAACAAAGTGGAGATGTGTAGTTGAAGCCGTATGCTCCATTATGGATAAGATTTTATTGTGATAAATCACACAGTGTTTGTTATACAGTAATATTAACTGATGACTACGTTTCAAGCACAAACTATTGCCACTCATAATCATATCAAGTTACTCACACAATTTTTTTCCTTCATTTATATACATGTGTGGAATTGAGTAGATATTGGAATAAAAATTCAATATGAGATCATGTACATTCGGAAATAATAATATGAGTGTTATCAATCAAATACAATCAGATGGAAAATAAGACAAGTGTTTTTATTGTCATAATAAATAAGTAACTTGTTAGAATGTTGTGATGTGCTTGAATTGAAATAGAATTTTGAGATTATTTATTATCCTCCTGTGATTTGACTGATTGGTGGTAATAATATCTTCTATATCTCTCGTGATTGCGTTGAGTCATTTCTGTTGCATGTGTTGGGTGTTGTACGCTCAATGAACCAGGTAGGATTCAGTAATCAATCTCTCTCTCCACCTTCATAAGTTATTTCTTAGAATCTTAATCCTCTCCCACCCAACACAGCACATGTAACAGAAATGACTCAATGCAAATACCAGAAATATGGAAGATATTATTACCACCAGTCAGTCAAATCAGAGGAGGATAATAAATAATCTCAAAATTCTATTTCAATTCAAGCACATCACAACATTCTAACAATCAACTTATTATGACTATAAAAACACTCGTCTTATTTCCCATCTGATTGTAATTGATCAATAACACTCACATTATTATTTCTGAATGTACATTATCCCATATTGATTTTTATTCCAATATCTGATCATCAATCCCACACATGTATAAAAATGAAGGAAAAAAGTTGTGTGAGTGAGTAACATGATATGATTATGAGTAGCAATAACTTGTGCTCGAAAAGTGGTCATCAGTTAATATTACTGTATAACACTCCACTGTGTGATTTATTAAAATAAAATCTTATCCATAATGGAGTTATACTCTACCACCACAGTGCTCAAGTTTTATACTTTTACCGTATGTTCCACTCGGAACCCAAGAGAACAATAATAAGAAGGACTGCCAGTTATTGAAAATGTTGTCCAGAAGAAAACTGAAAGCTTTTTCAATTAAACCACCTAGCTCGGAGAGCACAACAGACATACAAGAAACATACACCTGAACTAATTTAATATACAAAGCTGATGAAATACCGTAGTGCTAGCAGCGATACAGTATTTTTTTAGGCCTTTACTTTTCCAGTTAACCAAAGTATGTACAACACAGTTCTTCATTATGCTGTGTACTTTCTGGAGGATTTTATATTTCTTGATAGTGGTGCCAGCATACTACTTACTACTACTACTATTAGGGCTTATTTTTCAACTTTGTCTAATAATTTTCAAGTATTGGTTTTGTAGGGATTTTTTGTTTGATTGCATGGAGGATTTCATCATGAGCTGATACCAGTTAGAGAACCACGGGAAAACCAGCTAGGAGTACTGGACAGCTGTTTCGTCAGCCTAGTTCAGGACTCTTCATCAGTATGCACACATCGCCAGGGTTCGAACCTAGGACCTTATGGTTACAAGGCGAGCTCGTAGACGATTGACCCACTGGGACCTGATCCAATGACCAGTGCATGAATTCTAACTTCTGCCAATTCACGGCATAGCACGACCATTTCACAATGTCTTCTTCGATGAGTAGTTACTGCCTCATCTTCAACCTGCTGTACCCCACTCACTGGTCACGGCTTCCCACTAGAATCTCAGGTTAACTGCCTGAATAGGGCCAGTCGCTAGTGAGAATCAGATTAATTTTCAAGTATTATATAATATATTAATAATAGTATATATTAATAGTTTTCAATTAATCAGCGATTTTTAGTGGCTGACTCCTTCATTTTATTTATCCTCTATAGTTTGATTTAACGGAAGCTGGCTTAAATACATCGCTTATGAGTGTGGTGATCACTTCCATTCCTAGTTGCCTTCACTTGTTGTCACGAATTGATATACAACTTAAAACTGTAAGTTATCCTGAGGTGTATGTTTTTTCTCTCTTCTGTTGTGAAGTCAAATTGCCTTACCTGCGCATACGCTTGGATTCTGAACACTTTCATTTTCGTTATTGAATTGTGTGTATATTGTTTATGTTACAATTTGATTCTTTTCTGCTAATTCTCCATTAAAAGTAATTTTTTCTGTGCTGTTAGACAGTTTATTTTAAACGCCAAGTTGCTTTTGTTTGTTGTATTCTGATACATGAAGTCTTTAACCGTATGTAGTGAAAGGCAAATCAGCATACACCAACTTTGGCCATCACCTCTATCGTCGCCTCGACATCAGCCTGGCTATCAGAAGTCAGTCAGGTTTACAATGCCTCAGTGCTTGCAGGATTGCTCTACAACCTGTGAAACCTGACCTCTAGCAGCTGAGGATGTGTGATAACTCTGCGTATTCAATCCTCTCTTCACCCAGAGAAATCGCCTGTATCTGGTGATATCATCTTTTAAGCAAGTAATTCTAAGGTTTGACGGCGTGTTCCGACACGGTGAAAGTTGTCTTTCATAAAATGTTGTCACCTGAGAACATCGCCTTCGGTGGCTTGAACATGTCCTATGAATGTCATCCCAGCAGCTCCTATCCCATCTACACTGTTCGCTAGCCGTTGAATTGGGTGAAAAAAAAACCAGAGGTGTGATTAGATTAGCCGATGACTTGGCACCGTGGAATGAAGGACAGTTGTGCTAGGTTAGAATCACTACTTCCTGAAGGGGATCATTATCTAAAGGTGTTTCTACTTTTGGCCGAAGGAGGAAATTCGCGTCCAGAATTCCACTGGCAGTCTTCATTCAACTAATGTCTAAATATGTTGATTGCTTTAGGTACTTGTGGTGAGTTTAAAAGGGTGATGAAAAAAACTGAAAGAGGTTACAGGCGAGAAAAAAAAGTTAATCTCAAAGTTGATTGCATCGTTTTGCAATTGGTATCACACTGTTTACACACACACATATGATAACACTTCGACATATCCTAGATTTATTCTTAAGCAAAGAGAATATAGAAAAACTGTCAGGCGGTAGTATTAGTCATTTGTAACTGGAGCAGTAATTAAAGTGAGTAGATGGATTGAGACTTGCAGTAGCTCTTTGGATTATAGCTGCTGGACTGCACTACATTGACACCATCTCTGGCTTAGTAGACGTGATATCCGGCTAACTATCGACTAAAGGCAGTGTGTACTGCACAGCAGTTCTCGCTGTCTTCCTTTATGGTTATGAGTGATACATGGCCATTGAAAGTGGAAGACATGAAACGCCTGGCTAGATGTCTCTCTTTGATCATAGGTGCCTGCGTTCTATCTCCCATGTGGAGTGGTATAATAGCGTGAGCAATATTGAGGTAAGGCTTCGGTCGAGTGCTAGGTAAGGAGGGGAAATCAGTCGACGAGGTTGTGAAGTTACACCGATTGAGATGGTTAGGACATGTATTGTTACTCAATGTGTAGCCATCACCTTCCTCGACCAACAATGTTAGCTGACGTAGGACCATTCAGGTTGGAAAAAAGCTAGTGGTGGTGGTCAAACGAAAACATGGCTTCATTAGTTAATGAAATCCACAACAGTTAGTTTAAGCCAGCGAGCCAGCCAGGTAGGAAGATGTATACCTTTTGGTTGTGGTCCTTGAGATGGTAAAAGCCAATGAACACTGGAGACAATTGGTGATATGACTGGCTCAAAATCGTTCTCAATGGCTATGGCAGATGCATTCACTCTATTGTTCTTCCGTACTACTATTCTTTAAGCCTCATATTTCTGTTTATTATCTCTCTTTTGAATCTCTTCCTTTTACTCTGATTTACTTCCTAGAATGAGTTTCCCTTGTAAGCTTGTGACCATTAATTTGTCGTTTCCATAGAATTACATCTTATTTCATATGTTAACATTCTGTTTCATCTGCATTAATTGTCATTCAGAAAAAAATATAATAAAATGTGCTTCCTGCACATGTTTCACATTCCCTCAAATTTTTATTTTATTCAAACCTTTACTTTTTCTTTGATCTCGGTACAATTCCCGCCACATCTTATTTTCTAACCATGTTTCGTTCTTAACTCAGCTCTGCCTTCTGTTACCTTAATAAAGCATATTTATGCTTGTAACAATTTAAATTTGTTTTTATTGTTGTTATTATTTTTCTTGTGTATTTTGTTACCTAATTTTAGACATTCTATGAACAAGTTATTCATCACTGGGATAATACACTCCTGCCGATATTTAAACTTAACTTTTGGAATCAAATGCTGTGTCGATTTGTACGGTATGTAGTCGCTCCTCATATATTTATTTATTATTAAAATTATTATTATTATTGTTTCATTTAGTTCCTAGAGGAACATAGGGCTTCAGTCGCACATCTCCATTGCATTCGGTTCTCTGCACGTCTGCTCCCATGCCTTCATCTCCCCTTCACATGACCTCCTCCATGTCACCATAGCACTGACGTCCAACTCGCCACTTCCCGTTCAGGTTCCACTCGAGCAACGATCTAGCATGTGATGTCACTCGGTATAGCCAATCCGCCTCCACTTCTTCCTGCAGATTTGTTGCACAATCGGTTCATACTAGGTTGGTTCGCCTCCAGAGATCTCTGTTGCTGATTTTTTCTGGCAGGCCATCTGATCTTGAGTAATGAGCGAAGACAACCGTTAATGAAGGTCTGTAGTTTGTTTGAGATGCTCTTTATGACGCGCAGTGCAAGTCTCTGATCCGTATAGTAGCACTGACTGACTTCATATTGGAGTTGAAAATCCGGATCTTATTTTGCATGCTGAGGAGTGCTGTTGATCTCCACACAGACACTTGAAAGTAATGGAAACTTGCTTTGCTTTCCCGATGTCCGTCGCTTTGATATCCTCCTCAGTTTCGTCCACCTGTAGTTGAAACGATGCCTCCCAGGTAGGTAAAGGAGGATGCCTCTTTCAAATTTCTCCTATTTATGCTGACTATTGCTGTTGGCCAGGAATTTTCATCACCCACATCTGTTTCCTCTATGTTCACTTGAAGTCCTATCTTCTCTGGATGCTTCTTCTGCCAACTTGTTGCTTTTCACCTGCATATCTTACAGTTTATGGGAAATCAGACATATCCCATGAGCGAAGTCCAGATCCTCCAAGTTTTTATTGTGTGGGTTTATTATTAAAAACTACTGTTTATTTTATTCCGACGTTTAATTGCTCGGATAACTGAGTGTAGTTCAAATACCTCAGGATTGCAAACAGCAGAAAGTTAATTAATACTGACTGATTTGAATAGTTGGCAACTAATCCTAAGAATCCAACGAGTATGATAAGTCATGTTTGCTAACCAGGTCAAGGTGATTTAATTCAATAAAGTATGATACTTTTGTACATTCAGTATATTTACACTGTCATGGAAGTTTCAAATGTACGTCACTGTTAAAATAATCGCTTCAAATATGAAATATGGATGGATGTTTCTTGTTGATATTTCCTATAACTGGTAACCCTTCATCATTTTTTGCCGTGAATGAATGAATGAATGAATATAGTATATTCAGTAAAAAAGGGAATTCTGCATAATAACCGTCTTGTCGTCAAATCTTGTCATCTTACCTCCTAGTAGGTTTTGATGTATATATATATATACATATATATATATATATATATTTCTGATCTGCTCTTGATAATTCCCAACCGGGAATGGTCAGTTTCATGTCGGTATACAGCCTCCTTGAACAGATGCGTCAGTACTATTTGGAATGAATAACTGGAAGTGGCGTTTCGGTGTTTGAAGTCATTGCATACCGGGTTTCTCTGGCGTAGGCTATCAACCAAGGGACGTGTGTACTGCTCAGCAGTTTGCTCCGTCCTTCTCTATGTCTGGCTCTGAAACATGGCCAATACGAGTTGAAGACATGAAAAGGTTGACTGTTTTTGATCATAGATGTCTACGATCTCTTTCTCACGTTACGTGGCATAATAAGGTAAGTAATGTTGACGTCAGGCGTAGAATGTTGGTCGAAGAGGGGAAATCAATCGACGAGGCTATAAAGTTACATAGATTGAGATGGATAGGTGATCACGTGCTGCGCATGCCTAGCCATTGCCTCTCCCAACGGGCATTACTAGCTGATATAGGTGCAGGTCGGAAAAGAGTAAGTGGTGGCCAAACAAAAATATGGCATCAATCATTCCATGAAATCCTTGACAGTTAAACTGAGTCAGGTAGGGAGGGAGATGCAGACTTCCGGGTTGGGGCCCGCCTTCGGGACTCTAAGAATCAATGGCTGGAGACAATAGGTGACATGGTTCAAAATCGTTGTCAATGGCTTACGCAGATGTATTCAGTCTCTTGTGTAATCTTTCATATTCCTTTCTACCATTACTCATTCTGTTTCACTCTTATACTTGTCAAAACTCTGTTCATTCTCTTCATCACTCATCTTCTTGTCCACCTTTGTGTGGTATTTGGAATGTGGCAACTGGAACTGCTTCACTTCGGTGCCAAGTTCTATACTGGGTTTCTGGTCTCACTAGCGACAGCATCACTCATGGATTCAGCTGACACAAGTCTTGAATAGCATCCCTTGATTACAATTACCACCCACTACTAGACAAGAAGTGCTTTAGGCAATATTCCAAAATAGAAGAAGTTATTTAGCCTGTTAATTCTTGATCGGCTTTCTTAAGTTCACTCCATGACTTTGAGGCAGTTATTAAATGGGCAAATAGTTGTAAACGCCTTTATTCTATTCTACCTTTTATCTTATTATTTCTTTTTTTTATTTCCTTTTAATAGAAATGAAAGTATCCTTACTGGTTATCCAATGCATGTACGTGATGTGTCAGCCAGCCTGCTACCAGATTCGTGCACAAACATTATACAACAACAACAGCAACAACCAGATAATGAAAGAAAACTTGACTGGAGCTCTGTTGATCATGGTATGCTTTTAGATGATGGCGTTCTACAACTAGTCAGCTTATCGCCAAATTGTCTACCAGACTATGGATGTGCACTACACTTTGCGTATAACGCGCATTACACTCGGTTAACTGGATTAATCTGGCCAAAAGTGAATACCACTGCTGTACGACAGACAAATACACAACAGGAGGATGAATGTGATCAAGTCACACTGAGTCCAGAACAGATGAATACAAGATATCTACCACTGATGTCAGCAATGATAAGCATTTTAGAGTGTTGCTTCTTACAATTCAGAATACATATGATAGGAAGGCGACATGAGTTGTCAATGTTGAGTACCATTCTGTTTGATCCTTTAATTGATTGGATTAAACGTTTCTGTCAAAAATCATGTCTTCAATGGAAATCACTTAGCGTCACTGCTGAGCAGAAATCATCATCAGCATCGGATGAACAACAGCAACAACCGAATCTATTGATATCTATTGAATGTGAATTGATCGCCAGGATACTGTTGTTATTCTCTCAGGTAAGCCTTATAGCAGGTGAATACTGAGGTATTTGTGTATTTTTTTTTGCTTGGGTCATGAGTGAAACATAAGGCTTCTGACTGTATGGTAACTCCTCTTCTCGATGTCACCTTGGGACTGCCAACTCGTCCCACTCGAGAGCCTTCTGGGCTTGTCATGTCACTCAACGGTCTTCTCATTATTATTGTTCCCTTGGGTTCCTAGTGGAACATAGGGCTTCAACTGCACGCCTCCACTTGCTTCTGTCTTCTGCTGTACTTTTCACCAGCGTCCACATTAATCCATACTGTTTCAACTCCTCTTCACACGATCTCCTCCATGTCACCCTTGCACCGACGTCCCACTCGCCTCTTCCCTTTCGGGTTCCACTCGAGCTGTGGCCTGACGCGCGATGTCACCCAACGGCCTCCTCAGCGAGTATCCAATCCATCTCCACTTTCTCCTGCATATTTGTTCAGCGATTGGTTCTTGTTTTCTTTGTTCCCATAGTTTCTTGTTGGTGATTCTTTCCGGTCATCTGATCTTCAGTATAGAGCGAAGACAGTTGATGATTGATAAAGGTCTGCAACAGGCTGTTGGAAATATTCTTTGTGACCCGCCAAGTCTCAGCATATATCCAATTCATCTTTACTTTCCTCGGCATGTTTATTGGACGATAGATTTTTGGTCAGCTTGCTTCAAGAATTCATCGTTGTTAATCAGTGCTTTCCAATTAACCAATCTGATCTTCAATATGGAGCCTGCGAAGGCTCAGCTGTTGATATAAGTCTGCCATGGCCTGTTGGAGATGGTTTCGAAGACGCGCCGAGTCTTTCAACTGTCTACAAGAACTGACCTGAATTAGTGTTGTAGATCCAAGGCGCCACTGTTAGTTTTCTGCTAATCGCAGTGACAGTCTTTAAATTTAATATAATAGTAGGGTAGAGGGACAGATTGATAACTGAATTTCTACTTATCGAATCAACTGGAAATACGTGCATTAGGAAAAACAGTTCAACACTTGTCCGGGACACTTGGGAAATTATACTCCATCTCCGGAAAATGCAGAAGGAGAACAAGAACTATGCAAACCGAGTTTCCTAGTTGTGTGGTTACAGTATAGGAGTTGAAAGTACTCACTGAGCTTTCATTGTTTTGTACAAAACTTTCACCGACACCCTAGGTTATCATCTCCCAGGAGACTTTATAGGAGGTGGGTAGGTTGGTATGTTTTTGGGGACTATTTCTATGGATTTCTTTAACATGGTTGGTTGTTTTGTGATTCTTCAAGTAGCATCAAATTTCCGGCACTGATTATGTAGACTTCTTCAGAGAAATATGAAAGGTCAACGAATTATTTTGACCTTTCGTTTCGATAAACTGAACGTCCGAATTGATACACGAATAAAACTTGGGCACTGTGGTATGCAGTCATATTAAGTGATGACCACGTTTCGAGCACAAATTACTGTCACTCATAATCATATCAAGTCACTCACGCAAAAAGTTGTGTGGAGTAAACGTTCGAATGGTGCGTAAAGCTCTGAAACTGGGAGTTATCTAAGATGATAACTTACTGTTTTCCTAACTTGCAACAATGAATAAAAAATTTACAAATCTCGAAGACTTACACCTCTTGGCCTAATGCCATCAAGAGTACTTTCAAGAAAGTGCATTACAAAAAATAACCACTAAGCTGTATGAAAACGGACTACAGCTAACTACACGAAAGACGGATGAGAATACACAGAACACAATAGAAGGACTTAGAATTAACGTGTTTCAAAAGGAAGCAGAATATCAAAGAAACGTATGCAGTAAAGCAAAGTACAATCATGGAGCGACATTTGATACAGATAAGATGATAGGAGGCAGCTTAATAAACATGGTACAGTTAAGTGACAACAGACAATTATTGATATTTTGAAGAAAGTAACCGTATACTACTGATAATTTGTAAGTAGTGTGAGTTTTTCCACACAGAAAACAGAAGTAGATGCTGAATACAGATTGATTGTGCTATAAATAGTTGGTTTATCTGTGTTGATTTTCGTATTATATCGGGTGACTTTTTAGTTGATTTAGCTCACCTGCTTCGTCGATTGGAGCTGTCCTAATCGGTTGTAAGCTCTCATTTACACATTCTAAATTTAGAATATGCTAAAAATATTAGTAATAATAGTACTACCAATTACGTAGTGAATGAAAGAGTCGTGATGTCCATTGATTTTTGAGTCACATGGAAGTTGATCAGAATTTATTTGTTAGCTAAATTTCATAAAATAACAAACTCAGTTATAAATACTCCTATCCATAACATACATGCTGATGCACGGGATATCAACAGGCAGCCTAGGGGTTGAGCCACATGATGTAGCTGTATGTAGTCCCAGTTGTGCAAAAGGCTAGGATGAATGTATTCGACCCTCCTGAAAGCCACAGCATAATTGCCAAGTCAGTGGATGTATCATAATGATGGAGAAGTGGCTGATTGGCTTGACTCTCAGGCGAACTTGTCCCCACACCAGCCTAGGCAACTGGGTATTATCACAGTCCCTTACACAATATAACTGTGGCTTAAAGCCGAAGACTTTCCCAAGAGGTCAAGTTCTATCTCATGCATATCTATCTGAGATGTTGTTACAAATGTATGGGTAATTTTAAGGAATTCAGTTTACGCACTTGATTTTTTTTTCACATTTTTAAGCGGCAATTCTGAAGGATACAAACCCCGCTTTAACATCGAATTGGATTGGGTTCGTAGCTTAATTCTGAATTGCATTGCAGTTTAATAAATAAAATAGCTAACATGGTATGATGGCATGGACATCAATTGTAAGCAATATTTTACGTCACGTAGTTTAGGTATCTTGTCAATGTTTCAGATCGAATATTTATGTATAATGTATAATGCTTAATGGAGCAGGATCGAGTTCATAAAAGCATAACTCACGTATAGAAATATAAAATCGGATTTTGGTATACTTAATGCCAGTGACATTATTAATATTACTATTCCCTTGGATTCTGAGTGGAATATTTTCTTCGGCATATTTATTGAGTGACAGATTCTTGATTGGTTCGTTCCCATAGTTTCTTGTAGCCAATCCTTTCTGGCCATTAGATCCTCAATATCGACCGAAGATGGTAGCTGTTGATAAACGTCTGCAGTAGCCTGTTGGAAATACTTTTTAATGACGTTCAGGTCAAGTCTCTGAAGCATACAGAAGCACTGACTTGAAGTTAGTGTTGATGAAATTTTGATATAAGAATAGGACTTGTGCACTGTGGTAGAGTGTAATTCCATTATGGGTAAATTTTATTTTGATAAAGTCTCACAGTGATAAACAGTAATGTTTACTGATGACGTTTCGAGCACAATTTATTGCTCATAATCATATCAAGGTAATCACACGACTTCCTAAATTCATTTATATAGTTCCATTGTTTTTCCCTTGATTTTCACTTGATTTGATTGGTAGTATTATTTTCCATATTTCAGGTATGAGTGATGATTCATTCCTATTGCATGTGTTGGGTGTAGATTCGATGAACAAGGATTCAGTAATCAACCTCTCTCGCTCTCCACCTACCTAGATTACTTCTTAGAATTTTAACCCTCTCCCACCCTATTGTGTGGTTGTGTGTTAATGCATGCATTGCCTCACATCTGTGCCTCGCATCTACTATCTTTAAATTCCAAGGCAAAATATATAGACAAACTGAGGGTGTAGCAATGGGATAACCAAAATCTCCTATCGTAGCAGATAACTTTATGGATAGTTGGGGAAATATGGCTTTTAATACGTTTAATCCTACTCCAAAAATATGGTGGAGATATGTGGATGACACTTTCACAGTGTTAAAAAGAGAACTTATCTCTAGCTTCTTGACACACATAAACTCACTAGTGGAGGGAATAAAATACTCATTTGAATGGGAAAATGAACAAGAATAATTAGCTATGTTAGACTGTAAAATCAAACGAACAGAAGAATTTAAACTGCACACTAGCATTTATAAAAGGCCAACGCATTCTGCTAATAGATATTTAGACTTTAATTCATCTCATCCGTTAACTGTTAAGGCAGGCTTAGTTAAGTGTTTAACAAACCGAGCAATACCACTAAGCAGTAAAACAAAAAACCTAAGTAATGAAACAAAACAGTTAGAAGAATAGCTGGTTGGTGTTAAATAACTACATACCCTACAAAATTCATTAAGAAGATTGAAAAAGGCCAAAAGAAAAATAAAAAGAATTGTGAAACTAGTAATGGTAACATAAATAAGAGAAAATATAAGTCATCTACAGTTATACCATATAAAGAGGGGACATTTGAGACCCTACGTAGGATTCTAAATAAAGCAGGAATTAGGGTGGCATTCAAACCTACAAACTCACTCAGGTAGGACAAGCTGTGTAGGCTAAAGGACCCAGTGGACCCAATTAGACAAAATAATATAATTTACAAAATACCCTGCAATGACTGTGAGGTCAACTATATAGGTCAAACTAGTAGGTCAGGGGTAGTCAGATTGTCAGAACATAAGAATTTAGCTAAGGTAAGAATGGTTGACCCCGAGAAGATAAGTAATTTAGAAAAAAGCTCAGCAATTGCAATGCATGCATTAACACACAACCACACAATAGGGTGGGAGAGGGTTAAAATTCTAAGAAGTAATCTAGGTAGGTGGAGAGCGAGAGAGGTTGATTACTGAATCCTTGTTCATCGAATCTACACCCAACACATGCAATAGGAATGAATCATCACTCATACCTGAAATATGGAAAATAATACTACCAATCAAATCAAGTGAAAATCAAGGGAAAAACAATGGAACTATATAAATGAATTTAGGAAGTCGTGTGATTACCTTGATATGATTATGAGCAATAAATTGTGCTCGAAACGTCATCAGTAAACATTACTGTTTATCACTGTGAGACTTTATCAAAACAAAATTTACCTATAATGGCATTGATGAAATTTTGAATTTTGTTTCCTAATGGTGAGGTTAGAAGGTTTCCAAATTGACTTCAGAGGGTTGAATGTCTGTCTTGCCTTTTTCATTCTGATTTTGACGTTCTCATGCGTACCTCCTGTGGTTGAAACGTCGCTGCCTAGATAAGTGAAAGTAGTGACTGCCTTCGAATTTCTTCCGTTGATAGTATTTAGTGCTTGTCGTTGGTTGGTTATTTTTGTCACCTCCGTCTTCTCTATGTTCACCTGAAGTCCTGTCTTTGCTGACTGCTTCTTCTGTTAATTTCTTGGTTTCCGCCTCCAGGTCTTCGAGTTTACTTGACATTAGTCACATCTTCCAGAAATTTCTTATTGGTCCAATGTATTCTCGTCTTCTCGCTCCCCACAGTCTGATGCATAATACAGTCCATCAGAATTAGGAATATCACTGGTGACAGTAGACAGCCTTGTCCTACTCCTGTCTTCACTTGAAAGGAAGGCTTCGCTGAGCTTTCTGTTGTGGATCACCTGACAAGTGACAGGCATTGTCATATAGTTGTTGATTCACTAAGTAATAGGAGAAACCTACTTTAGTTTAATAAGTCGTATCAACCTTAATCAACCGTTTTTGCTGGAAGAATCTCAACATTAATACAAAAGGCTTGTTTCTCATTTACTAACTGGTGTCATCTCTGACTTAGACGTGGTGTCTCTCTGTCGATCAAAGGATGTGTACACTGCGCTGCAGTTTGCTCTGTTCTCTATCTTTACAGCTGTAAACATGTCCATAAGAATTGGCAGATGTGAAAATACTAACCGTACGTGTCTATATGTGTCTGCGTTTAATTTCTTCCGTTATGCGATTTAATATTGTTAGCTGTCATGAAGTTAGACGTAGACTTTTAGGTAAAGGTAAAATTTTATTTTGATAAGTCACACAGTGGTGTTATACAGTAATATTAACTGATGACCACGTTTCGAGCACAAATTATTGCCACTCATAATCATATCAAGACACTACTCACACAACTTTTTTCCTTCATTTATATACATGTGTGGAACTGACCAGATATTTGAATAAAATTCAATATGAGATAATGTACATTCAGAAATAATAATAATAGGAGTGTTGTTGATCAATTACAATTAGATGGGAAATAAGACGAGTGTTTTTATAGTCATAATAAGTAACTTGTTAGAATGTTATGATGTACGTGAATTGAAATAGAATTTTAAGATTAATTATTATCCTCCTCTAATTTAACTGACTGGCGGTGATAATATCTTCCATATTTCTGGTATTTACATTGAGCCATTTCTGTTGCATGTGTCGTGTTGGGTGTAGACTCAATGAACCAGGAAGGATTCAGTAATCAATCTCTCTCTCCACCTACATAGATTACTTCTTAGAATCTTAACCCTCTCCCATCAACCCTATTGTGTGGTTGTGTGTTAATGCATGCAGTGCAATGTAGTGCTGAGCTTTTTTCTAAATTACTCATCTCCTCGGGGTCAAGCATTCTTACCTTAGCTAAATTCTTATGCTCCGACAATCTGATTACCCCGATCTATTAGTTTGACCTATATAGTTGACTTAACTCAGTCATTGCAGGGTATTTTGTAAATTATATTATTTTGTTTAATTGGGTCCACCGGGTCTTTTAGCCTACAGAGCTTGTCCTATCTGAGTAGGTTTTTAGGTTTGAATGCCACCCTGATTCCTGCTTTATTAAGAGTCCTACGTAGGGTATGGTATAACAGCGGATGACTTTTATTCTCTCTTATTTATGTTATCATTATTAGTTTCACCATTATTTTTATTTTGCTTTTGGTCTTTTTCGATCTTGCTGATGAATTTTAGAGGATAGTTATTTAACACGAAAGCCTCTTCTAAGTAAAGGGGCAAAGGAAGTCAATGTTTGTAGCAGCATCGATTTAGGTGGCTAGAACATGCCTAATGCATGCCGAATCATCAACTTCCTTATCACGCATTGTTAGCCGATGAAGGATTAGACTGGAAAAGCTTTACAGGTAGTCAGGAGATAACATAACATTAATCCATAAAGTCTTTGACAACATCGTCAGGCGGTGCAGACTATCCGGTTGGAGTCCTATGGACGCTAAAAATCAAGGCTTGTGAAGAGTCTTTGTTGCATAGATCAAAGTCATTCACGAAGGTGAAGATATTCCCACTCCTTGTTATAATCCGATTTCCGAAACTCCGCCCCCTAATCATCAAACTCTTGTCTGGTGCACATCTTCACTTTTCTGCGTACAGAACATAAAGGAGACTGAAAAAACAGACAGTTTCTATTAGTTCGTTCAAGCATACCATATAGTAGGTCGCTTTAATCGAATGAAATCGACGAGAAGTTGTCAATCTGCCTAGGAGACAATTTAACTTATTATTTTGCTTTGATTGGCCACTAGGCAGTAAGCAGTGCTAGATGTCTTGTCCTTAGTAGTGTTGGTGCTAACCGAATTCTTTCAGCCATATTCTCAATGTGGTCACTGTTCCTGCTCTTTACTTTAGATTGGTGGTAGGTGATTGTTTACAGGAAACCCTGGGACTGACATGACATATCTACAATCTCGAAGTAAGTAATGTTACCAAGGTTACTGAAATTTTGCATCATCCAACGGTGCAATCCAAGATGCTACTACTGAACTATTCAGAAATGCAGCTGACCTCCAAATGTCCCATAAACGACGTGGTATAGCCGAGGGTGGTTAGACTTCGGCCTTCCTCTCGGAACGATCGCATATCGCCACGCGTTCATAGCCTCTGGCAGATAAGTCCTGTTGACTTCCTTCACGTGGTGGCTAGTGCAGACATTTGGCGCTTACAACCTGATTGGTGAACATGCTGGTTTACCCAGGGGAAGTGGAGAACCCTGATTGCAAACGCATGGCATACACATGATGACCAGAGTCCGAACGAACTGAATGACGTAAGACACTGGACACTGGAAACCATGGGGATGCTGCTCCACTGCTCTCAGTGCATCAGACTTCATATCAAAGGCTCAGGATGTATCTTATTGAGACTGCCACCTAATTCGATCTGAAAGTTCGGGCAGAATCCCAACCCTCCCAAAAACTATGCGATTTTGTGTAGCGCATTTCTCGGTGCCTAATTTTGCGTTTTTTAGTAGTAATTCTGGTAACCGACTGCCCCAACCAACTAACCACAATTTCCTGTCCATATTATTTAACACGTTTGCCCGAGGTTTATTCACCTTTGTTTCGTCCTTTTTGTGTATTACAGATTTTAGAACAAGATGAATCTGCTTTGTCGACATATTTAAAATCTGCATTGATTTCGGATAGTTTTGGCGGCTATAATATAAATCATTTAGCTGCTTTACGTATCCTTCCGTATTTACGTAAAGGGCAAGAAGGCCTGAGAAATCGTCTTATTTCTGAAGTTGTATTCAGCAGTCGACAAATTGAAATTAGCAACAGTATGAAGTAAGTTATTGCATTTGAAGGGGGGGGATGTATTCATTTGTTTTCTATAAATATACAAGACAGGGAGGTAAGTCTTCCTGTGATAATCACACGGGGATTAGATTGACTAAGACTGAATATTTCTGCTTAGATTAAATAGTCTTTGAGAGAAACAAACACGAGAAAACCAGGCAAACTTTAGACTAGGTAGATGGCTAATTGATCAAATATTCACAGATTCTGGAATATAGGCATATTTGTCGGCGTCCAGCGATTGCCATATTTCTTGACCTGCACCAATGAAGGCACTCTACTGGAACTTACACAGTCGGGTAAGAGCTAACAGAGATTTGTCACTTGAAATAAACATAACCATTGGTGTTCGTCAGGGGTATCCACTGTCCCTATTTCTGTTTAATTTCATCATAGAAGTACTAATGGACTTAACACTAACTGGCTTCAGCGACTCAGGCGTTAACTTGTCACCAGGGAATACTCTTGCTGGTTTAGAATATGCGGGTGATATAGTCCTCCTAGGTGAAGGCATCGATAAAATCTAGTCTTCTGAACACCTTCAGCAGAAAGCTTCAGATCCGTGGCATGCGATTTGCTCGTGTCTAATGTAAGATTATGCCACAGTGCTGGACTACATCGATTTGTAGCTTAGAGATAGGGAGTGAAGAGGTGGAGTGTGTTGACCACTTCACTTATTTTTTTAGAAGTTGCATCAGCCAGTGCCAACGGGCTGATCGCTGTCGAAATCTTAGCACGCAAACAAATGGCTCGTGTGATATTTGCACCAACCTGCATCATCTCTGGCGTAGATGCGATATCCGGCCGGCTATTGAACGAAGGGCGTGTATACTGCTCAACAGCAGTTCTTTCCGTCATCCTTTATGGCTGTGAGCAAGACATAGCCATTGAAAGTGAAAGACATGAAAAGTCAGGTTAGCTGTTTTTGATCATACGTGTCTCCGTCCTATCTTCCATGTTAGGCGGTATAATAGGGTGAGGAGTAATATTGAGGTTAGGCGTGGAGTATTAGGTAAGCAGGGGGGAAATCAATGAACGAGTTTGTGAAGTTACATCGATTGAGTGAGATGGTTAGGACATGTGTTGGTACTCGTTGACTAGCCATCGTCTTCCCCGAAAGGCAACCTTAGAAAGGAGGCGGCTGACTGACTGATGATTTCAACATAGAATTTCGCACAGAAGTTCAGCACTTCGAGTCGCCACACTCCATGAAGCACACAAAGGAAAACAAGAAAGAGGGAAGCAGATATTCTAGAGGATTATAATAAACAGGAATATCAGGGAGAAGGAAATAAAAGGAGCTTGAGAAAATCATGAAAGTGTGTAGTGGCTATGGAATGCATCTGCACCACTGACAATGATTCTGAGCCATATCTCTAGTAGTCTCCAGCCTGTGGGTACTTAGAGTGCAGAGGAATCCAGCCAGGCAGTGTCTACACACCACAAAATAACTGTCAAAGGTTTTATGGACTGATTCCAAGTTTCGGCTTGTCCAACACCGACTTTTTTCCTACCCGATCCTATGTCGGCTAACATTGCCCGTCGGTCGGGGAAGGCGACGGCTAGTCCTACGTAACAACACAGTCTTAACTATCTTAATTAATGTAACTTCACAGCCGCATTGGTTGGTTTCCCCTCCTTACCTCACAATCGACTGACGCCTCACCCCAGGGCATTCTGAAAGACAGAATATAGACACCAGCGATCAAGGATAGCTAGAAAAAGTATAAATTTCAATAGCAGTTGTTAGTGTCACTGCTCAAACATATTTTAGGAATGTGTATACGAAAAAAGAAACACTTGAAAGCAACAACTGAACTTCTGTTTAAAAATTTTTAACGTTTCTCTTGTGTTTTTCTAAAATTTTTTTTACTCTCTACATTTGTCCTTGATAATTTCAGTATTGAACGTATCATACCGCATTTACCTGAGATAAAAGAACTTTATTATCGTGAATTAGTACATGTGATGTCGTCAACAATAACAACAGCAACAACAGTGGAAAACTCGCAGAATAATGAGAATACCAATCCGTCAAGTAAGCCTTGATTACGTTTTTGTTTTAACTTGATTTCAAATTTGTTTTATTCGAAGTTTTTGTTTATTATTATTATTATTGTTTCCTTTAGTTCCTAGAGGAGCATAGGGCTCCGGCCGCACGTCTCCATTGCGTTCGGTTCTCTGCCTACGTTTTCACCTGGCTTCACGTCTGCCCACATGCTTTCATCCCCTTTCACCTGACCTCCTCCATGTCACGCTCCCACTGACGACCAACTAGCTCATCGCTTACTATTTGGGTTCCGCCAGAAAGCGATGACATGGCGTGTGATGTCACTTAGTGTCAGAGTACGGCCAACCCACCTCCATTTCTTCCTGCATATTTTTTGTACAATTGGTTCCTGCAGGTTTGGTTGGTCCGCTCATTGCCAGAGATCCCTCACTATTGCTGATCTTTTTTGGGCATCTGATCTTGAGTATTGAGCGAAAACAGCTGTTGATGAGGGTCTATAGTTTGTTTAAGATGCTCTTTATGACGCGCCAAGTTTCTGACTGACTTGGGTCAACCTGGGTACTATCTTTGGAGTAGTTATTGTAGTTTTTATGTACGAAGACCTTACCACTCATGGACCGCACTATGATAAGTCGGATTATACAGCTTGAGAATGATATGGCTGAAAAGAGTGACTCTTTGCTGAACTCCTTTTCTCATACATAATGAAAAAACGTGTATCACAGAGTTAAAAAACCAGTACTAATTTATCTGCTGAAATTATTATTATTATTATTATTTCCTTTAATTCCTAGAGGAACATAGGGCTTCAGCCATGCGTCTCCATTGCGTTCGGTTCTCTGCTGTAGTTTTCACCTGGCTCCAAGTCTGCCCACACGCTTTCAATTCCTCTTCACATGATCTCCTCCAGGTCACCCTTGGACGACCAACTCGTCGCTTCCCTTTCGGGTTCCACTCGAGGGCTTGTCTAGTGATGTCACTTGATGGTTTCCTCAGAGTATGGCCAATCCATCTCCATTTCTTCCTGCCTATTTGTTTCACGATCGGTTCCTGGTTGGTTCGCTCCCAGAGATCTTTGTTGCTGATCCTCTCCGGCCATTTGATCTTGAGTATTGAGCGAAGGCATTTGTTAATGAAGGTCTGTAGCTTGTTTGAGCTGCTCTTTGTGACACGCCAAGTCTCTGATCCGTATAGTAGTACTGACTTCACATTGGAGTTGAAAATACGGATCTTATTTTTGACGCTGAATGCTGTTGACCTCCACATAGACTTGAGAGAAATGAAAACTTGTCTTGCTTTTCCGATTCTGGCTTTGATATCCTCGTCAGTTCCTCCTGTAGTTGAGACGATGCTTCCCAGGTAGGTGAAAGAAGTTGTTTCCTTCAGGTTCCTCCCATTTATGCTGATTGTTGTCGGTTGTTGCTGTTGATGTTGGCCAGGAATCTTCATTACCTCTGTTTTGTCTATGTTCACTTGAAGTCCTATCTTTGCTGCTTCTTCTGCCAATTTGTTGCTTTTCACTTGCATATCTTCCAGTTTGTGGGAAATCAGACATATATCATCGGCGAAATCCAAATCCTCCAAGGCTTTTGTGTCGGTCCATTTTATGCCTGTTCCCTCGTTGGTTGCCGTTGTCTGCCGCATTATCCAATCAACTGCAATCAGGAAGATCATTGGTGACAGTAGACAGCCTTGTCTCACTCCCGTCCTCACTTCGAAGGATTCCGTGAGCCTCCCGTTGTGGATTACTTGGCATGCAGCGTTGTCATACAGCTGTTGGATGAGATGAATAATTGTCGGCGGCACCCCGTAGTAGCGAAGTAGTTGCCAAATCACCTCTCGATCGACGCTGTCGAAGGCTTTCTCAAAATCGATGAAGTTGAGATAGAGAGGTGACTGCCATTCCAAACTTTGTTCAATGATAATCCGTAGGGTGGCGATTTGGTCAATGCATGACTTGTTCCTCCTGAATCCGGCCTGTTCCGGACGAAGTTTTTCATCTAGGGCTTGTTTAATTCTCTCCAGGATGATGCGACATAGTATCTTGCTTGGAATGGACAGAAGCATAATTCCACGCCAGTTTTTACATTGACTCAAATCTCCTTTCTTTGGCAGTTTGAATAAGTATCCGTTCTTCCAGTCCTCGGGTACTTTGCCCTCTTTCCACACCTTCTCTAGTAGTGGCGTCATCAAGTCCGCTGTTGTCTCTGGGTCTATTTTCAAAGCTTCTGCTGGGATTCCATCTGGTCCTGGCGCTTTCCCAGCTTTTAGCATCTTGATGGCATTCAGGACTTCGGATTTCGTCGGAGGGTCGATGTTCATTGGTAGTTCTGCTTCCGTTGTTGGTATTGTTGGACGCGTTGTAGGTGGCGGACGATTTAGAAGTCTTTTGAAGTGTTCAGCCCAGTGCTTCCTCTGTTCCACCTCTTTGGTGATTGACTTTCCATTGTCGTCCTTTATTGGCTTAATCTGTGTCAAACTTTTGCCCGAAAGGTGCCTAGTTGTTTGGTATAGTGTAGCGAGGTCTCCTTTGCCTGCGGCTTGTTCTGCTTCGTTTGCCATGGTTTCACAATATTTTCTTTTGTCTTCCCTGGCACTTTTCTTCACTCTTTTGTTCAGTGCATTGTAGCTTGCATTCAACTCCTGTTTCTGTTGCTCGTCGGTGCACTGGATAATCTTTTGTTTCGCCACCCTTCTCTCTTCTATTAGTTTCCAAGTGTCCGTAGAGAGCCACTGTTTGTCCTGTCTCTTTTTTCTGCCTAGGACTTCCATGCAGGTTTGACTCCACACCGTTTTCAATTTGTTCCAGTGCTTTTCGACGTTGACCTTTTCGTTGGTGTTGATTTGTGTCTCGGCTTTTTCCTTTATGTTTGCAATGAAGATGTCCTTTGTAGCCTGGTCCTTCAGCTTTTGAGTGTTGAACTTGGCTTGTGGTCTATCTGCAGCTCCTGTTTCCCAGAAAGCTTTTAATTTGATTTGGATTGTCCCTTGTACGAGGTAGTGATCTGAGCCAACGTCTGCTCCTCTTCTTGCTCTTGTGTCCAGTAGGCTGCGTCTCCACTTCCTCGATATTGTGATAAAGTCAATTTGGTTTTTGGTTCGCCCGTCTGGTGACACCCATGTAGCCTTGTGGATATCTCTGTGCTTGTAAACACTGCCACCAATCACTAGTTCGTTGAAGGCGCAGAAGTCGGCGAAGAGTTCTCCGTTTTCATTCATTTCTCCAAGAGCTTCTCTACCCATGATGAGTTCTCTTCCTGTATTGTCTGGTCCCAGTTTGGCGTTCATATCTCCCATTAGTATTTTAATGTCGCCAGCTGGAGTATTGTCTATTGCTGCCTGTAGTTGTCTGTAAAATTCTTCTTTCGTTTCGAGGTCTGCGTTGTTGGTGGGTGCATAACATTGGATTATTGACACTTTTCTTCCTTTGGAGTTGAATCTGGCGGTCATTATCCTGGACGAGATCGCTTCCCATTGCATCAGGGCTTTCGTTGCCGTTGGTGACATCATGATAGCCACGCCCTCGGTGTGCGTGTGGTTATCTTCTGGGTGACCGGAGTAGATCACTGACTCTCCCGTTGATAGTTTGGTGAGTCCACTTCCATTCCATCTGCTTTCACATATTCCCAGCACTTGGATTCTGTATCTTTTCATCTCGCTGGCGATCTGGGCAGCTTTGCCAGTCTCGTACATGGTGCGGACATTCCATGTCCCCACACAGACTTTTTCTTTTGTCGCAAGGAGATTGCTCATGGTGAAGTTTCTGTAGCAGGTTTGTTTACAGGGTGGGGTTGCTGGCCTCACGCCTGAGTTTCGTCCTCGGGTACCTGAAATGGAAGAAGGGTTAGTGTTGCGTGACCGCAGAGTCCAGGGGACATCTGCTTGAGGCCGGTCACACGCGGCCTGGTGTGTCTCAGTAGTGTACTTATCACTTCTGCCCTGTGACACGGCAGCAGAAAGCGCGGTCGTTGTTAATCCGGGCCACGGCCGATCCGGCATGGTATTTCTTAGATTTGTTGGGTTCATGGGTTTGGATTGATGAATGATGGCGACTAAGTCCAGCCCCCACTGATACCGTCGCCAATGTATCAGTAGGTTGTGAGGTTTGAAAAATTTCGTTGGCGTCCGCTGCTACTGTCAACGGAGCTACTCATGGAGCGGTGTGGCGACCCAAGTTATCTTCTACTGATACCGTCGCCACAGTCATACCAGTAGAAGTCCGGTTGAGCTGCCGGTCAGCCTCGGGATCAAGCAAAAAAAATGGAGAAAACCAGCAGAACATCAAAAATTCCATAATTTCGCAACGGTAAAGCATAAAGAGACCACACAGGCACCAATCGATTCGTCTTGTTGAGAGGAATCCAATGGTATATAAATCAGAGGGTAAAAGCTTTTCCTAAGAAAAATAATCGAATTTTCCTTCCTAGCAGTCTCTGTCCCCCTACTGCCCTATGGTTGGTAATGCCCCCTAGCTACATACACATCGGCAAACAACCTGAGGTCACGGAGCTAAAAGTGTCAAGAGAACAGCCAGCGGCATGAACTCTGAGTCTAGAAACAGGTTTCCCCTATAGCCTTTGAAAAATTCCCTATTCGGCTGAGGAGAAGCTATAAGGTGCGAAACCGGTACCAATAGGTAGATCTCGTCGAGAGCTGTCCATTGATATATAGCTTCCCTAGGTCCTAGCCTCCCTAATAAAATTTCGGCAGCATTCCCCCTAAGGGCACTAGCCCAGAAAAGACAAGTCCCTATTCGGCTGAGGAGAAGTTACAAAGTTCGAAACCAATGTCAAAAGATAGGTCGCTATGAGAGCTATCCATTGATATATAACTTCACCTAAGTCCTAGCCTCCCTAGAAAAAAAAATTTTTGGCAGCATAACCCCAGAGGGCGCAAGCCCAGATATCAAAGATCCTGGGGAGGGCTGAGGAGGAGCTACAAGGGTCGAGACCACTGTCTAAAGATAGATCTAGTCGAGAGCTACCGATTGATATATAGCTTTCCTATGCCAAAGCATCCCTAAACAAACTTAGACCGTATGGTCCCTAAAGCCCTAGCATAGTAAACATCACGCTAAAACCTGGCCTAAACATGAAAGCTAATAATAAAAATAAAATAAAAATAAATAAAAATCTGCTGAAAGGACAAGGGAAAATAGTCTATTCCATTAATGCTGATAATAACGTGTGATGTGATAACCAAGTTAAACGACTCACCTTACCAATTCACAGTGAATTACTGTTGGGATAGTATAAATTATTCTACAGGAAAGTGCCCAGCCACCCCCTTCCTCTACCGAAGGGCAGTGTTAGCTGACATAGGATGAATCAGGTTGGAAAAAAGCTAGTGGTGGTCAAACTAAAATATGGCTTCATCAGTCAATGAAATCCACAACAGTCAGCCACTTAGTAAGGTGTAGACTTCTTGGCCGGTCGGGGTCCTAGAGATGGTAAGAACTTACGAAATTGTTCTCAATGACTGTTGCAGATGCATTCATTCTTTGTGATTTATAATATCCAAAAAAAACTATTTTTCTTCCATATTACTATTCTTTGCCCGTCCCCCGCCCGCACACACTTCTGTTTATAGTCTATCTTTTGAATCTCTCTTTACTCTCTTCTCTTGCCCTGTATGCTACACGTCGGGTGGTAAGTTGAACTGTTGCATATCTATGCAAAGTTCTATGTTGAAAGCAATGAGTCAGTCAGACGGGAAAGTGTCAACAGGACATATCTGCATCTCAAACAAACTACACACCTTCATTAACAGTTGTCTTCGCTCACTACTCAAGATCAGATCGCCGGCCAGAAAAGATCAGCAACAGAGATCTCTGGGAGTGAACCAGCACAGCAGGAACCGATTGTGAAACAAATATGCAGGAAGAAATGTAGATGGATTGGCTGGCCATACTCTGAGGAAACCATCAAGTGACATCACTAGACAAGCCCTCGAGTGGAACCCGAAAGGGAAGCGGCGAGTTGGTCGTCAGCGTGAGGGTGACTTGGAGGAGGTCATGTGAAGAGGAGATGAAAACGTGTGGGTAGACATGGAGCCAGGTGAAGACTCTAGCAGAGAACCGAACGCAATGGAGACGCACGACTGAAGCCCTATGTTCCTCTAGGAATCAAAGGAAACAATAGTAATAATAATACTATTTGCATCACTATGGTTACGACAAAATCATAGTTTCATTTTCGCTCATATATCTATATTACTATTATTATTATTCTTTTTTCAGAGTTATCAACTCACCTTGAAGATATTTCTGAAGAGGACTCTGTGAACCAATCATCAGCTGATAGTCATGTGGATTTTAAACTTGGTCCTATATTCTCAAAACGTAGATCTATCTGTGATAGATTGATTCCAGTGGAATGGGCGTATACTCCATTCATTCATGCATATTTATTATCAAAATCGAAAAAGATTAATGAAGAGGATGAAACTTATCGTAAGGTATGGATGTACCTCCTTATATACCTTTATTTTATTATACACTACCTTCCATGAATTTATCTCTTTTAAAAAGTGTGTGTAGTCTCTCTTTCTGGATTCAACATAGAACTTGTCACCGAAGTGCAGCAGTTCGACTTGCCACGTTCCAAATAGCACACAAAGGTAGACAAGAAGATGAATGATGAAGAGAATCAATAGAGTTTTGACAAGTATAAGAGTGAAACAGAATGAGTAATGGTAGAAAGGAGTATGAAAGATTACAGAGACTGAATACATCTGCGTAAGCCATTGACAACGATGTTGAGTCATGTCACCTAGTGTCTCCAGCCATTGATTCTTAGAATCCCGAGGGCGGGCCCCAACCCGGAAGTCTGCATCTCCCTCCCTACCTGACTCAGTTTAACTGTCAAGGATTTCATCGATTGATGAGGCCATGTTTTTGTTTGGCCACCACTTACTGTTTTCTAACCTGCACCTATATCAGCTAGTAATGCCCGTCCGTCGGGGCAGACGATGGTTAGGCATGCGCAGCACGTGGCCTAGCCATCTCAGTCTGCGTAACTTTATAGCCTCGTCGATTGATTTTCCCTCTATGCCCAACACTCTACGCCTAACGTCAACATTACTTACCTTATTATGCCACCTAACGTGAGAAAGAGATCGTAGACATCTATAATCAAAAACAGACAACCTTTTCATGTCTTCAACTCGTATTGGGCATGTTTCAGAGCCATAGAGAGAAGGACGGAACGAACTGGTGAGCAGTACATACGTCCCTTGGTTGATCGTCAGATGTCACGCCTACGCCAGAGATGGTGTAAGTTAGCGAAAGCAGCCGAGTTTTTTGGATCCGTGCTGAGATTTCGTCACCAATGAATCCGTTGATGCTGATACAACTTCCGAAATAGGTGAAGTGGTCAACATGTTGTAGCACTTTACTCCCTATCACTAAGCTAGGGGTAGACGTAGTTCAGTCCAGTAGCAGCATCTTACATTATACAGGGGCGAATCGCATGCCAAACATACGAGAAAAGTGTTTAGTGTACATCCTTCAAAAGTGGTGAACCGCGCATCGACTCTTAGTTGAAAAAAAAACATAGGCGGTGAAGTCTTTGGGAGTGTTAACCTGACCAATTTTACACCTTTGAAAAATTGAATCAGTCCAATTCGACTGATTGCTGACAAGATGATCAGCACAAGTACTAACGGCTCACATTGGAATTCACCAACTTACTTCATCTCTGGCGTGGACGTGATATCCGTCTGGCTGTTGATCATACGACGTGTGTGATGCTGCGCACCATTTCTCTCTCTCTCTTTATAGCTGCTAGATATAGTCATTGAAACTGGAAGATATGAGAAGACTAGTTGACTTTAAACACTATTGTTTGCTATTCAAGTATTGGTTTGTAGGGAATTTTTGTGTGATTGATTACAGGATTTCATCATGAGCTGACATTTGGTTAGAGCACCATTGGAAAACCTGCGGGGAGTACTGGAAATCTGTTTCGTCTTAGTTTCGGACTCTTCAGCAGTATGCACTCACTGGAGTTCGAAGACATTGGCTAGCGATTGTGCTATATCGTGAATTGGTAGAAGTTGGAATTCATGCTTTGGCCATTGGATCGGGTCCCAGTGGCTTAATGGTCTACGAGCTAGCTCACCTTGTAACCAGAAGGTCCTAGGTTTGAACCCTGGCGGTGTGTGCGTACTGTTGAAGAGTCCCAAACTAGGACGAAGCGGCTGTCCAGTACTCCCAGCTGGTTTTGCAATGGTTCTCTAACCAATTTCGGATCACAATGAAATCCTGTAAACAATTGTTTACGTTGCATGTCGCGTGTCAAGTGGTATAATATGAGGAGCAATACTTAGATTAGGTGTAGAGTGTTAGTTAAAGTTGGGAAGGTCAGTCGATAAGGTTGTGAAGGTGAATCAATAGTCTGTCTGTTTTCGACATAGAACTTTGTACTGATGTGCAACAGTTCAAGTCACCACACTCCTTCCATGTAGCACACAAAGCAAGAGAAGAAAGTGGAAGAAACACATAATAGAGACAGTAGACAGGGATATGAGACAAAAGGAATAGTAATTAATGAAAAACAATATAGTATCATTAGGTATTATAAGTCACAAGGAGTGGATGCATCTGCATCAGCCATTGAAGACCATTACTTTGAGCCATATCACGGATTGTTTCCAGCTTGTATTGGTGCTTACCGTCCCGAGAACCCCAACCAGGAAGCCGGTTTACACCTTCCTATGTGACTGGCTTAAACTAACTTGTGGATTTCATTGACTGGTGCCATGTTTTGGTCTGACTAACACTAGCTCTTTTCCAACTTCGAACTGTCCTATATCAGCTAACATTGCCCGTCAAGGAAGGCGATGGCTAAACATGCATGCGTAACACATGTCCTAACCATCTCAGTCGATATAGCTTGAAAGCCTCGTCAATTAATTTCCCCTCCTTACCTAGCACTCGATCGATGCCTAACCTCAATATTGCTCACCCTATTATACCACTTCACACGGGAGATAGAACGCAGACATCTATGATCATGTCTTCGATTGATATGGCTAAGACACGTGCTGAGCGGTGTTAGTTGACATCGAATTGGGTTAGGGAAGACAATTAGAAGTGGTCATATGAAAACCTGACATCGTTCTGTGAAGTGCATTACAGTCGGTCTGAGTCATGCACGGAGGTGCAGTTCATCCGGCTGGGGGGGGTCCTTTGGATGTTAAAAATCAATGGCTTGAGACATTTGTTGTGATATGGCTCAAATTGGTTCTACGTTGGATCTCAGTCAGTCAGTCAGTCAATGTGTAAGTCATCTTATGAAAGCGAAACTATACAGAAGCTACTAGACAAGGATTAGATAGTCATCGATTAGTGAGCACCCGGCATCCTAGTTTCACAGATGATGAGGCGTGTTTTGAATTGATTTTTCTATCAGTATTTTCTGTATTATTTATTATTATTTACTTCATACCTTTGCGTTTCGAGTGGAAAACAAGGCGGCAAGCTTCAACTTTCAGGTTTCAGTAGCAGTGTCGCTTTTTATGGTATGGTGAGGTTGCTCGCCTCATGCCCAACCTTCCCTCTTCATTGGGCTGACTGCCAACTAAGTGAGGTTTGAGGAGTGTGTCGGACAGGAGTCGAACCCCCACCCACCACTTGCCGCATGGTTGGTCAGTGTTCCACAACTGAACCGCCGATACATTGTATCACATAGTACATATATAAATTATCAACCAGTATAATTTCTGAACAAAGAGAGAAGAAACATTGGCGCAGAATAATCTGGATCCATTTTATTTCGTTGGTTCTCATCAGCTGCGTACAACCTGAATTTTTGTTATTATAATAAATAGTGTACAATTTTTAACAGACCTTTGTCCATTAACAAGCATAGTGTCAGAGTGTCATAGTAAAATAAGGCATTGAGATTTACATGGTGTCTAAAGTGTCACGACATGTATATATGTATATCTTGGTAGACAAAAGTTTCTTGAAAAAAAAATTGTTAACAGTTGTGTTGTTAGGGCGGTAACAAAAGACAATTAGCAATAATTACTTAATTAGATAAGAGAAGATCAAAATTTTTAAAATTACGGTGCACATGAGGTCAGATGAGAAGTTGATGATGTAATACAGTGAGCAGAACTCAGAAGATCAAGAAAAATTATCTCTTAAGAGAGTCAAACGAAACATAAAGGGGAGGGGTGGAGTGAAAAGATAAGTTAACAAAATTAGAAAACAAAGAGTTACTAAGAAGTCAGTTCCCAGGGTAATTGAAGTCCAACGACGGATTCTTTTTGGACACATAAGTCAGGCTTAAATCGTTTTATTGCTAAAGCTTCAGCAAACCTGAGGAGACTTGAGGTACACTTTGTCTGTTAATTATTTTGAATGATTCCAGTACATCTACTCGGTGCTGTCCTGTGTCAATCAGGTGTTTGGCGATTGAAGAGCTTAAATAATTCGGTCCCTTTAACCGGAGGCTCCTTGGTACATGTTCGCAGAATCTGACGTAGGCCCTCCTCTCTGTTCTTCCAATGTAACTGCTCCCGCAGATACATGTGAATTGGTATACACAGTTGGAGGTAACATACGATTAACAGAATAATCTGGATCCGTTTTTTATTTCGTTGGTTCTCATCAGCTGCGTACATTGTATCATTGTATGAAATTCTTGAAAAGTATAATTTCTGTTTACTAACTAATCTATCCATTTTACAGCTTATGTTGGATCGTTCAATGAACTGTTTATTATGGATAAGGTTCCTTCAAAGAATTTCCACACTGTGCCAGTCGACTGGTAGTCATTCCTCCTTTGGATTTATGCAACCCATTGAATCGATTGTCCGACTGACTGTTGGCTCCATAGCATATCCTGGAGCTGGAGGTTTAGGCTTTTCACCAACTGGTCAACTTCTAGCTGAAATTCTGCATTCTATTGGACCAATAAAAAAGTTGTCGACTATAGCAACTACTACTGGCGACAGTGAATTAGCTTCTCTTCTGGAAAATGTTAGTCTACCAGTCACTTGTCCATCATTCTATGATGTGTAAGTTTTTTTTTGTTTAATTGATAAAGTAATGTCTGTCTCTTGGAAGTGTGTGGGCGGTTGTTACTTCCCAGCTGCCCACACTGTGGAAGTTGGTTGATTCTTCGGGTAGCTGAAAAAGAAAGAGGGTTAGTGTTGCTTGACCGCAGGGCCCAGGGGACAAGTGCTTGATGCTGGCCGGTCAAACACGGCCTGTATGAATTGGTTTCTTGGGTTGATTCCGTATTAGTAAACTTACCACCGGTTACGGATCACTGTAGGTGGGGTAAGTCGGATGTACAATTTTAGGGGTCGAACTTTTCTAATCCTCGCTCTTTCCAGAGTGGGGAGACAGCATAGCTGGCTGGTACGCTGGTCATCTGAGGGAAACACCTCACTGCTGTTACATCCCTGTTCCCCAGTGGCAGTACGACTTCGCCCACAGACCCCCAGCATAGTGTAAAACAGAGGTCTTACACAATGCCGGTAACTGCTTTTAGTCCAATCGCTATCCTAACAACCTTCCTGGTGTGGTAGAACCTGTAGGAACAATAGTTCTAGCTAGTGTAGGTTGTTGGTGGGTTATTGCGATGTGCAAACCCGGCGACCACCACGTCAAGGTAGCACCTATCGGTTGGGATGAAGTAATGTAGATTATTATTGTTATTATCACTGCTATTATTCATTGCTTGTGTTTCGAATGGAACAGGCCTTCAGCAGCACATTCCCTTTCTATTCGGTTCTCCGTTATCACTTTCAACCCGTTCCACAACTGCCTACAAGCTTTCATCCCCCCCCCCCTTATATGATCTTCTTCATGTTATACATGGACTCGCCGTACCTAATTTGTGACTTCCTGTGTTCGACATCTATTCTCAAGGGCCTACCTGACGCGTGTACTGTCACTTTAACGTCTTCTCACCGCGTATATCCAATTCATCTCCATTTTGATTGTTTATTCTATTTGATCCGCCATCTGATTTTCAGTATCCACTGCATGTTTCAGTGTTTTTAGAATGATGTGAGTCAATATTTTGCTTGCGGTTGACATGAGGAGGATAAAGCGACGTTAGCTCTTGCATAGAAGCTTAAGTTAAATTTCCATTGGCGGTTTAACTTAGTCACCTTTCTTCCAATCGCTAGATACCTTTCTTTCCTTCAACACCTACCGCAGCAGCGGCATAATCGTGACTGCCTGTAGTCTGTCGATAATTGTAGATTATATTGAAGTCAGTTGGTGGATGGTAACTAACAGTGGAATCCAGGATGCGCATTTCGTCGTATAAGGGACTCGTCATCCGAAGGTACCTTCATTCCCCACCCAGTGCCCATAGTTTCAAACGCTAAACGTCCCAAATAGGACGAAATGTGCACCTTGGTGGATTCCACTGCTAGTCACCAGCCACCAGTTGACTTCAAGTTACATGACCAGACATCGTCGAAGCATCTGCACAAGGAGCCGACATGTCAACCTGAGACGAGTCAATCGACGGGAAAATCTGAATTGAATTACAATAGATTATATTATTCGTGAACCTTCTCGTTTGAGTACTAACCAACCTTTGGTTGCTTAGCTGTTTTTTATTTCAGGTGGCAGTTGTAATCCTTCGTATATGTTGATTTCCAAAGAGCTCCACCATGGAAATTTAGGCATTCATCCTCGGTACATTGCAGTGTGTGCGTCACAGACAATAGATGATTCAGTCGTATTTGTAATTTTCACACTAATTTTTTGTATTTTATAATTCTTCAATCTCTGCTTTGTTTTATTTAACAGATATGTTGATTTGGTGAATCACTACAATGCATTATCATACAATTCTCCAGTGTTTGCCAACCTTGTCCTATGGCCATGTCAACAAGCTTGTCATGTTAAATATAGACGTGCACTGTGGGGAGAACATCAACAATCTTTGAATTCACTTCGTATCGTTTTAAATCAAGTAAGTTTCATGTTGTGTCTCTTTCTCTGAAGAAATAATTCATCCAAAATTACCCAGGATAGATGACTTATAAAGTCATAGAGAATTCTAAAAACCCACTTCATACTGAATTCAGCTCTGAAGATGCTGTCTAGGAAGACATTGTTACCTTCGCAATTAAACCAGCTAGCTGAGAAAGTATAACCACATCAAAGAATGTTTGTGATATTACAATATACACTCACGTGTATTGACAGGTGGGCTCTACAGATTGCAAATTCTCACCAAAATTATCCAGTGACTGTCTAACTTATCATGGCGTTGCATGATGAAGACAACTCTTATGGAGAACTCCGTAGATAAACGGAATAAAACAATACCCTATTAAGTAACCTTTTTTTATATCACAACAGTGATATGGTGTGAATGACTGGATGACGTTTCGAGATCAATGTATCACTCATAATCATATCGATATGTTTGCACCTTATGTAGTTTTTCAATCCCTGTTCACTTTGTAATCAAAATAGGAGTAAGACCATAAGTAGTTGGAAGTCATGAAGTCGCGTGCGATTGTGATTAATAAAGTGTGCTGGAAACATCATCGAATTATGAATATTTCATCACTGTGTGTTACATCAGAGAAGCTTATCCAATATGGAATTACATCCTACCGCAGTGTCCCCTGACCGATAGCTGCTGCCTTGATGTGGTGCTCGGGCTTGAACATCACAATCACCCACCAACAAGTTACACTGGCTGGGACTTATGTTCCTGCAGGTTGTTAGGATAGCGATTAGACTACAGTCAGTTACCGGGATAGTGTAAGATTTCTTCTTTTTACACTATGCTGGGGTTCTGTGTGCGAAGTCGTACTGCCACTGGGGAATAGGGATGTAACAGTAGTGAGGTGTTTCCCTCAGATGACCAGCATGCCGGCCAGCTGTGTTGTCTCTCCACTCTGGAAAGAGCGGGGATTAGAAATGGTCGACCCCAAAAATTGAACGTCCCGACTTTCCCCATCTACGGTGGTCCGTAACCGGCAGTAAGTTACTAATACCGAACCAATTAAAGAAACCATTTCTCTTTTCGGCGGTGAATTGATTTCCTTAGCTGTACAGTCACATTTATATATAATTATTTTCTCTACGTGTGCGTGTGCGTGCATTAGGATTGTCAAACAAAAAATAAAAATTAATTAGGGTTATTTTTACGTCACCGAAATGTTTCAAAAATGTGACGAATACTAGGGGGTGGGGTAAAGATTGTTAAGCAGTGACAAGAGTTGCGTAATAAGGGAGACACCTTGAAAAAATAGCATGGGAACACGCATCCAAAATAATTTATGTAATTTAGATAAAGCAATAAGAAGGAAGACGTAATTTGTTTGAATCGTGTAATGCTGTATTTGCGCAACGCATTTCGAACAATCTGATCACACACACACTAACTTGTCATAGGAATATACATATGAAATTAATAAAGAGTTAAGAGGTGAGAAAATAGACTACTTAGGTCAAGTTGAAAGGCCATATTCAAGGTGAAAATAACATTGAAGACCACTAAACCAAGTAACAGGTAATAGTACATCTGCTATGGTATCAAAACAAAATTTACCAAGGAAGGTTTAATGTGATGACGAATTGTTGCTTTGAACGCATAAAGATGGTTCAAACTTTCTAATTGCCAGCTAGGGCTTCCACAAACTTTAGAATATGTTCCAAACACGTTTTGTTAGATAGGTTTAAAAGATGTGTAGACGTCAATTGTATGTGCTATCGCTATAATATATTTCGGAATGGAAGAGCTAGGTCTCCTGTTCTCACCATTAATGGGTTCTGAAGATTCTATTTGTTTCTGGAGCCATTTTGGAATATGCTCTGAAGCCCTTACTTGCAGAGATCGATGAGTCCTCCCTATGTATGTGCGTGTGTTCACACGTACATTCAAATTGGTAAATGCAGTGGGATGTGACGTCACTTTTCGCATTTTCGAAGGGCTTAGATAGATATATTGGCTTTACATTCTCAATTGTTATGATATTAGCTGCATAAAAAGTCTTTTTAACAGCAGCGTTCAATCTTCGTCTAGTTATCAAGCTGCTTTGATGCCCCATATAGGGTAGCTTGATGTACACGTCTTTCTTAGTGGCGAGTTGTAGAGTGGGTCTTGGTGTTCCACTGACTACTTTATATCTCCTGATGAACTTGTCTGGATAATTGTTATCAACCAGAGTTTGTGTCAACTTTCTTTCTTCTTCATCAAGTGTGTCTTCAGTGCATATTCGTTGGATTCTACTGAAGAGGAACCTTACTAAGGCTTTTTTGTACCGAACAGGGGAGAAACTGTGGTAATTAAGATACCGTCCTGTCCAGGTAGGTTTTCCACAAATAGATCTTTTTATTGACCTATCAAGCCGTCGACTAAGCAATACGTCTAGGAAAAATGAACAATTATCTTCCTCTTCTACAGCCGTAAGTGATATGTTATTCTGAGCTTCATTCATTCGATTTAAAATTGAGGTGGCAGAACAAGACTTATCACTGATGATTACAATATCATCTACATACCTTCTATAAAGTGGCACATTTTCAATTAAATCCTCCTATAAATTCTCAATGTACGACATATAAATATCTGCTAAAAGGGGCCCTAACGGAATTCCCATAGCAATACCATCAAATGTGCCACCACCTTTATGCGTTCAAAAACAATTCGTCATCACACTAAACCTAGCTTTCTTGGTAAATTTTGTTTTGATACCATAGCAGATGTAATATTACCTCTGTTATTTGGTTTAGTGTTCTTCATTGTTATTTTGACCGTGAATATGTCCTTTTAACTTGACCTAAGTAGTCTATTTTCTCACCTCTCAACTCTTCATTAATTTCATATGACAAGTTAGTGTGTGTGATCGGATTGTTCGAAATGTGTTGCACAAATACAGCATTACACGATTCAGATAAATAACGTCCTCTTATTGCTTTGTCCAAATTCATAAAGGGAACTAATTTTTTGTTATATATATATGTAGAAAGAGTAAATAAAGGGTGCATAGAACAACTTATGTACCTTGCTGCACCGGAGCAGATGAATCTATAGTCACACTTTCGAACGATAATTGTATCTATGTTAACTTATGTATATAAATACGATTGTACAGCTGCTTTTGACGATAAAATCACTGAAAAGGTATCTGTTTGCTGTGTTTCTTGTTCTTTTCTCACAAATGTATATGCGTCATTAGATAGAAATGATATGATATTTATATTCTCTATATAACATTTATACATGCATAGCTTCTGATACCATTGACAAGCTTTCTTGAACCAGAAGAAACCAACTCCAGTATGATTCGTGTCTATGCATCTGCAATTCTCTCTGGTACCGTTCAGGTCACACGTCAACCTTTGTTATTCCTGATTGCAGTACATCATTTAAATCGGTAAGTAATGCTAATCTTAAATGTCTTCTGATGTGTAATTCTTGTTCTTATTAGGATTATTATCAAAATGTTATTTGAAATTCTGCGCATTATCTCACTTAAGCATGTAAACAATAAAGAGTGTGTTGACCACTTCATTTATTTTGTGGGATGTTGCATCAGCCAGTGCCAACGGGTGGATCTCACGGATACAGAAAGCTCGTTTAGCATACACCAAATTATACCATCTCTGGCTTAGTAGACGTGATATCCGGCTGGCTGTTGACTGTGTACCACTCATTGGTTCGCTCCGTCCGCCTTTATGGCTGGCTCTCACGGAGATATGGCCATTGGAAGTGGAAGATATGAAAAGATTAGCCGTAGAAGGGTGAATAATATTGACCTTAGGCGTCAGTCGAGTGTCAGTTAATGAAGGAAAGTCAATTGATGAAGTTGTAAAGCTACATCGATTGACATGGCTAGGGCATTTTTTACGCATTCCTAGTCATTGTCTTCTTCGACGGGCTATGTTAGCTGTCATAGGATCAGGTAGGAAAAGAACTAGTCGTGGTCAAACTGAAACATGGCATCAAGTCAATGTTAGTTAGTTAGTTTCAGCCAGCCTGCCGGGTAGGGAGGTGTAGTCTTCTTGACTGGTAGGGGTCCCCGGGATGGTACGAATTAATGAAGACTGGAGACAATTGGTGATATGGCTGGCTCAAAACAGTCGTTCTCAATGACTGGCGCAGATGCATTCACTTTTTTTTGTGATTTGTTGTGTCAAATAAAATTCTATTGTTCTTCCATATTACTACTCTTTTTATCTCACTCACATTTCTGTTTACTATCTCTCTCTCTCTCTTTGGCTTTGTATGCTTATGGAAGGAGTATGGCAACTAGAACTGGTGTACATTTGTGCAAAGTTCTACGTTGAAATCAGTCAGTCATAAGTTACTGTAATCCCACTGATTGGTTTTTAAACACAGATAAATTTTGTTACTTATATAATGAGTGAGTAATGTACCCTAAGCGCTTGATGTTTTTGAATAGAGTCGATAAAAGCTCCTTGATACTTTCGGAACCTCACTATGGTAGACCGAATTGTTTCTGTGGATCGATCGTGCGTATGTGGTTCAATAGTAGGATTATTTTCCCGCTAACCACACGAGGGGCTTCAGGTTCTATTTCTGGATGTCGCATTTTTGAACACTGCGCAGTCAGTAGTGAACCTGAATAAAGAAAAGGTTAAGTGTGAAGTTAGGGGGGGGTCGCACTTCATTAAAACAACGGTAGAACCGGTACTGAAACTCCAATGCTTGAAGTTCCATGTTAGATTCCGATTATCGGGATTGAAAAGATCTCTATAGATCAATGAGCATGTCGTTTCTTTACATTATTGTTCGAAAACTGTTTATTTTTTCCGGCGGTGTCAGTCTTGGACACACTGATTGTAAATTCAGTGTAGCTTAACTACACTACAACCTGCTCTGATATCAGTTTATTCAATTTCGATTGGACCCTGATTAACTGGTGTCATTTGTCGAGTCCTTCGGTTGTCTGATGCAGATTGAATTCTGTTGTCAGTGAAGTTTGCAATGTTGCCGCCGTTCTAGGTAGCTCGTCATCACGGTGTACATTGATTCGCTGATATTAGATAGTTGGAGGCAATCAGCCACAAGAAGCCTTGCTTGACCTAGGTTTCGTGCTAGTTGGCACTCACCAGTCAGCAAGGCGTATCTGCAACCTTGAAAGGGAACTTATGCCCCCCCACACCACCTATTGAGTGTTTCAGTTATAGACGTTACTACCGAGCTATTCGGGCTCGCGATTGGTCTCCTGTATGACTTGTATTTGACACTAATTAACTGGTGTCTCCATGTTGACTAATGCCGCCAACAAGCACGCAACCTAAGTCAAGCAAGGCTTCTTGTGGCCGATTAACTCCAACCATCTAATATTAACAGTTTATTCAATTGTTGCTCAATCAAATAACAAACTGTTTTACTGTACTGTACTGTACTGGCATGTAATTCATCATAATGTGTAATTATTTATTTCTTTTCTTCAGATATCTATACAACAGAGCTAATTGTAACAGTGAATTCACACAACAATTTGTACGCTTGTGTAAACTACTGCCTCAAATGCCTGACGTTAAACTATCATCATCGTCAGTTCAAACAGTTGGTAGTAGTAAAAGTGATCTTCTCAATCTATTGCGTTATTATAAACAACCAAATAAATGTTGGTTACAAATGAAGTCACCCCAGCTGAATACAAATTTAAATGTTGGTATACACGATCCACTAGTAGTAGTACACTTAGTCGACGATAAAGACAACAATATGAATGGTACTGGTGGTGATGATGATTACATGAGTATAACATCTTCAACCACATTCAGTGAAGCTATTATCAAAGCTGGTATAGAGTGTTACCAGCCAGATGAATTACCTCAACATCGACAATTGTATTGGAGACAGTTATTTGAAAAAGTATGAGGAGAGGAGATGAAATGCTGCGATGCGGCCTGAAGTGTTATGTAATTACTTACAGATGTATATAATCCTAAGCATACCATATTTTTTTGTTTTAGAAAATAAACTTTATATTGAAAAATATATACTCTGAGAATTCTTCTTTTATGCGTTATTCTTTGATCATGTACAAATTTGTTTTGGTTCAATAAATATTTCTACCAAATGCCAGCGTCTTCTGAACGAACACCTTGAGGAGCAGTGGTCTTCGAGTGTTTGGCGCGCGATTTGCTTCTATCAAATGTAAGGTGAGATGCTTGCTACAGGACAGGACTGGACTGCAGTGATTCCTAGCTTAAAGATAGGAAGTGAAGTGGTGTCTGACTGCGTTGACCACTTCATCAGCCCTAACGGAAAACATCTCAGAACAGATGCAGAAGGCTCGTGTGGCATTTGCCAAATTATGCTATCCGGCTGGCTATCGATTAAAGAACGTATGTACTGTGAAGGTGTTCCTTCTTTCCTCCTTTACAGCTGTGAGACATGGTCATTGAAAGTGGTACATATGAAAAAGCTAAGAGTCTGCGTTAAGTGGTAATAACAGGGTAAGTAGCATTGAGGATAGGTGTAGTGTTAGTTTAGGTGAGAAAATCCATGGATTAAGCTACGTCCACTGAGATAGCTAAGACATCTGTCACGCATGCCAAATTATCTGCATCATCGATGGGCAATGTTAGCCGACACAGGATCCGGTTGGAAAAGAGAGCTACACGTGGTAAAACCATGAAATCTTTGGCATTTAAGTTTGAGCCATCTAGGGTGGTGTAGGCTTCCTGGCTGGTTGGGGTCTACGCGATTCTAAGAACCAATGGCGGCTGCAGATAATTAGAGATGTGGTTCAAAATCATTATGAATGGCGCAGATGCATTAACCTTTTGTTCTACAAGTGTTACTACTTTTTCTCCATCACATTTCTTCTTATTATCGTTCTTTCGAATCACTTTCGTTTTCTTTTGTATGCGGCATGGAGTGTGGCATCTCTTAAGCTGCTGCATTTCTATGTGGAAACCAGTCGGTCAGTTAGTCAGTCATTTACGCGTTCAAAAGGAGGGCATATCAGAGATATCTGAAGGATTGTTTCAGAGCTACACAAACACATCCAGAAAATAAGACGGAAAATTAGCTTATTAATCATAATATCTGACTTCAATGATGAAAGATTATCTACATGGCACTGTAATTATTTTCATCGGATAAAAGTATTATAAAACCCATAGGATGTACTCGAAATTTTAGAGATAATTGATATTGTATTTTATTCACCATAGTCTTCCGTGACGACAATAACAACAACCTGAACTAAAACGTTTGACGCAAAAGTATGCATACAGGGTAGCACCAGTTTTCAAACACTACCACAAATCACGAATCAAAAGAGAAGTAATAAAAGTTTTATACGCAGGCGAAAGTATACTTAAGTGGAAGATAAATCTGGGCGGTGGCAAGAAGTGGGTTTATCTACATCATTCCGAAAGATACTGAGCAATGTTAATATAAGTCTTTTAGATTTTAGCGTCTCGAGGACCCCAGTCACACAGTCCATACTTCTCTAAGTGGCTAAAACCAATACTTAAGTACTCTACAGATTGATGCCATGTTTGATTCTCCCCACGCCGACATTGTGTCAACCCAATCCTATCATCGGGTATTGCTGAACGCGGAAGATAACAGCTTCACATGTGTAAAACCTATTCTATCCTACTTAAGAAGAGAGGTAGGCAGCAAGCACCTCTTTACATCTCCGAGTAATTCTATGTCTTCAATACAACAAGGGCTGAAATGTACTTGCAACAGTCAGGTTTCTTACGCTATAAGCCAATCAAAAACATTGTGTACCTCCGACCAATGAAGCAAGCAGCCTTTCTGATGACAATGCTTTTGAATTAGTCTTGTACTACTTATTGTGAAAGGTTCCAGTAATGTGTTCGGTTGGCGATTGACGATGTGCAAAGTATGATATAGCTTCACAACTTCATCGACTGATTTCCCCTACTCACATCATGATGTTCAACAATACCTAACCTCATTATTCCTGCCGATATTGTACCACTTGACACAAAAACAGTAACCGTTTCTTTTGATGTCACATTGACAGAGTTGTGCGACGCGTCACAATTCGCATGTCTCTTAGGTGATGGAGGTTAGAAGTCCTCTTAAACAACTGGCGGCCTGCTTGAATCTCTGGGCTACCTGCATTTCTTTCCAAACACACAATACATCTGATTTTTAGTTTTTGTTGTTATAATCATTCAGTTATATCCGTGGGTCACTTAATGTATTCGTCCACATTTTTAATTGGTTTGCCGCCGCCTATCATTCAGCATTTCTGTGGGACCAAAGAAAAATGCCCTAGTGGATTATTTTATTCTTCAGATCTTCAGTGCATCACAAGATAAACTAGAGATGGCTGTGTTTTACTTGAAACCCCTGTGGATGAAGTGTAAATATTATGTCATAAACTACGCTGAAAATTGTGCACATCGTGTAAAATTATTGTGCATCATAAAGTTACTGTTATTGTAATATGGTGCTGTGATACGGACAATTTGTGGCAAAGTCAAACTTTAAGCGCCACTAACTACCAATCAGCGAATGACTTCGAACACACCAATCACGTGAAGGAGGCATTTTTGTGTGTAGAATACATATATTTATGAAAAAAATGCATAAAAACTGGAATCAAGTGTTACACAGGATACCTTTCCCTCACATGTGATAAAAATAGCTCTCATCTTTATGTTGGAATATCAACAGAGTATAAATTCCATTGTGAATAAAATTTATTTTGATAAAGTTTCATAATGTTATACATTAATATTTACTGAGCAATAAACTGTGCTCGAAACTTCATCAGTAAATATTACTCTATAGTACCCTGAGAGCTTATCAAAATAAATTTTACTGATAATGGAATTATATCCCATACAACAGTGCACAAGTTCTATTCTTATATCAACAGAGAAATTTAACCACATTCTGTACATGTAATTATTTAGGTCTTCTTCTAACCCTAACAACATGCCTAATCTTTCCTAAAACTAGCCCTGACGTGAAAGTATACCCAAACTAACTATAATCTAACTCGAACCAACCCTAATGTCGCGTTTATGAGGTTAACCCAACCCTAACTTATCCTTGGCTTAAACCATAACTTAATCTTCCCTAAAACCTAACCTGAAACTTCCTAAATATCCCATTTAATAACATAACACTTCGATGAGCATATTTTATTGATGATGACAACATTATTTACCGGATTTCACTAACTTGCTCAGTGAGCGTCTCAAGGTCATTGGTGCGTACGCACTCCAGTGGTAGTTAGTTAGTGGTGCTTAAAGTTTAACTTGGCCCAATGTGTTCCAACGGAATATTATTCTCACATATTCCCACAGTTCACTTCGGCAGTAGCACCAGAATACGATTTATTTATTTGAACATTCTATTTCATGTCGTTTAATGTAAACCGAAATCACACGCTCAGTGATTGGTTAAAGAATATAAACTGTATATATATATATATATATATATATATATATATATATATATATATATATATATATATATATATATATAGACAGCGGTTTGATCAATGGAAAGTATGCCTTGGCTTCCGTGTCTTGCCTTCTGTTGTTACATTGGGTGTCGCTGCCTACCGACAAATCGAAAGCCTATGCCCTACAGTTTTTGAGGAAGAAGACATATAGATCTCCAGGCAGGACTTCGAGGCTGTCGCAAAGTTCAATGCCGTTCAAGATCCGTCATCGATTAGGCTGTTACTTGGTACGTTGCTCAGAAGTCGGTCGACAGCAGCATATGATAGAGTATGAGGCGAATTTGCTCCAGGGTCATGCGAACTGCTTCCAAAGCGGGAAGGTCCATACAAAGGCACCGTGAGATGAGGTCACGTAGGCACGATCAAAAATGCAAATAAACACAAGCGGATGAACGACAGCTAGCTCCGGAAATCGATACAGCAAGACAAGCTAACAAAGCCGCCAGCACCAAGAAGATTCAATGTGTTCCAACGGAATATTATTCTCACATATTCCCACAGTTCGATACTGCATTAGCAACAAAATATAGTATATCCACTTGAACATTCTATTTCATATCGTTTAATGTAAACCAAATTCACACGCCCAATGATTGGTTAGAGAATATAAAACTGTATATATTTAAAAAGCGGTTTGATCACTTGAAAATATCCCTTGGCTTCCGTGTCTTGCCTTCTGTTGTTACAGTAAGTTCAGTGCGTATTGTGTAAACCAACCACAGCTTAATATATACATAGCCTCTCCTAAGGAAGTCCTACTCACTGCCTTCACGTGGCGGAGGTGTTTTTCACCAAAGTGAGAGGGCGAAAGCGGATGCCCTGCGCTCTCCACCGGGTTGACTGTCCATTGGATGACAGTCTAAGGGAGATGGCTAAACCCTGATTCCAAACCTCCAACGACTTGGCGTATGAAGCTCACCGGCAGACGTATGGACAAAGGGCTTATTGGATGTCCTGAATGCCTGGCCCCATTCAAAAAGGCGTATGAACCGAACTCCGGTCACCGGCTGCCAATGGATAGTGGATTCCCTACTCCATTCCTATTGCCTTGTAGTTCACACTTGGTTGTGTAAAGGCTAGAACTGCACTCTCAAACAAAAGGCCGAGCGATTCTGGGGACATCACTCGTACCGAATTCCCATGAAAGTTCATGAACTCTCATGTTCATGAAGCCTGCTCATCCTCCCGTAGGAGATAGCCGAAGTAAAGTAAAAGTAAGTATATATATATATATACTACTCAACCAGAAACACATAAAAGACCAAAGCAGGATAGGAAATCTATAATTCTTAGGGTATTATTACAATACAGTCAGTCACATGTATAAATCACAGTATCACAACCATTAATTTGTATGCATATATTATCCTACTCATCATTCATTCCCAAAACATACTACAAAATTCGAAAATATTAATATTGTTGGAAAGAAAACAAAACAAAAAAAGAAAAATCATGAATTTTTTCGAAAAAAAAGAAGAGAAAAACGAAAAAAAAAACAAATAATCCGAAAGAGAAAGAAAAGAAATAATCTGTACAATTGATCACATAGCGCTTTTTTTTCTTGCCTAAACATGGGGGAATATTGTGAAGAGACTATTGTTTGTTGGCTTTTCTGGTGTTGTTCAATTCTAAACAGGCACATAGTATGAAAGACATGAAGAAATTTAATAATAATAATAACAATTGAGAATGAGATTTTCGCTAGGTGTTGTTTCTTTCCCAACTCTCCCCGTCCACTCCGCCTTCTATTTATTGCCACACTACACTTCTAGCAGATTACCAACACAACATTTACAATGTGGACAGTCGTGACGAAGTGCATGATATCGTAGACTTTGTAAGGAGGGTGATGATGATGATGATAGTTGTGCTGTATGATTTTCCTGTTGGATGTCATCAGTTGAATTTTGATGAACAAATTCTTCACCATGGCCATCATCAACATCACTGGTTGGATCCTTCATTGAATTACCCATATCTTCATCGTTCAAGTTGGATGCACCTGATTCAAACTCTGATTCATCGACAGTTGGTTCAATTTCTTGAATAAGGTTTTGAAATTCATTCAGGAATCCAGGTGAAAAGTCTGACAAGAAAAGAAACACACAAATATTGATAATAATTAATAATAATACTAATAAGATATTTATTCTTATCCATGTAGGACACACCCGTTTTACAAGCATGGATAAGTATTATTTAAATTACATAAATTTGATTTATGATGAAATTACATGGTTGCTGTCCTATTTGACATTAGTTTGTGAGTACAATCTGCTAACTAGTCATTCAATGGACCACATTAAGAAATATTGTCTTCGCATTAACAAAAAAAACACAAGTATGTGTTGGATGGATTACAAATATTTGGGGCAAAAAAATGAAGCTTGAAGTCAGTTCCTCCACATAACTTTGTTGTGTGCGGCATCGTATCTTGTTCTTGATTTATATCCAAATTGGGTATGAATTTAAAATAAGTGATTTATTTGTACAATTTTATCAGCACTTTCATAGTAAGTAACATTAGACGTGAATTGTACTCAATGCAGACTAATATTGGTTATTGTCAGGCAGATTTGTTTTACTACGCATCAGAGTCAATATATATAATCAACTGAATACACACGATTTTCAAGTGTCCTTTGAATTTTAAAGTTTTATGCATGGTAGATTTAGGCTGACGAATGATAAGGTGTCTTAATCAGGAGAACTAACACAGGGAATTTAGAAACACAAGTATAGAGAAAATCAACACACACAGATCAAATACTCAATTACCCATAAAGAAACTGTGTGCCGACATTGTTTAGACGAGTTCAAACACACTGTACCACTCCAGTTTTGAAGAAAAATACCTACAAATCGTCTTCAAAAGGAATGGATATCCTCATAATTTCATCAAAAAGTGTTTAAAATCGAGTCACAACATCAACAAGGAACCATAATCAAAGAACACAAGAAAGTTTATCCTACCATATATAAAAAATATCTCGGAAATAACAGCTAGAATATTGAAACCGTTTGAAATAGATATAGCACACAAGCCAGCCAGCCAACACAATCACCCCATTCCATATTGTGCAAACCGAAAGATCCAACAGAAAAAGAAGATGGAAGTAATACCAATTACAAAATAAATTGCATATATGAACTGTAACAGACATTTAATCGCCCAAAGTGGGCGTCCCCTTCGAATCAGAATCCAAGACATGTTATATACTCTTTCATATCAATGCATGTAGATAATTATGGACATCAATTTGACGATTGGGAAAAAGTCGAAATTTTAAACAGAGGAAACACCAAAAGTGCCAGAGAGTTCCTAGAAGACTGGTACCCAAACGAATCAGCGATTAACAAACACATTTACCAGCTAATAAAAAGTAAATCATCACATAACAAGAAAGTTCGAATTCCAAGTCAATAAAAATGATCAATAGGGTTGTAAATTAACAACCAGTCAAGATAGTGGCTGCCAGAAGGTACAATTACATCATTCATGAAGAATTTAAATCAGTTGATTTCATGCTAAAAACTTGTGCTGAAAATGCTGTCCAGAAGAACGGTGAAAGCTCTGCGATTAAACCAACAAGCTCAGAGAACACAAATAATTGCGAATCATTCACCTGAGCAACAAATCTTCTCTATTATTTTAGAATGACAAGAATAGTTGCTATTTCGAATGACAAGAATAGTTGCTATTTCGTATCATGATATCATCTTTGATGCAGACGTGATATCCGGCTATCGATCGAACTGCGTAGCAGTTCATTGTAAGTGGTATAATACGGTAAGTAATACTGAGGTTAGGCGTAGATTGTTAGGTTAGAAGAAAAAATCCATGAATGGAAGTTACACCCATTAAGATGGCTAATACACATGTTAGGTATGCCAAGCCACCGCCTTCCTCATCAGGCGATTTTAGCTAAATGAGATTATTCTAGTATTGGTTTGTAGGGATTCGATTGATTGGTTACAGGATTTCATCATGAGCTGACATTGGTTGGAGAACCATTGGAAAACCTGGGAGTACTGGACAGCTGTTTTGTCCTAGTTTGGGACTCCTCATCAGTATGCACCCACCGACAGGATTGAAACCCAGGACTTTCTGGTTACAAGACAAGCCAGCTCGTAGACCATTAAGCCACAGGGAACCGATCCAATGGCCAGCCCATGAATTCTAACTTTTGCCAATTCACGATATAGCGCAATCGCTGGCCAATGTCTTCCGCGAGTATTTTCCTTCACACCCGACCTGCTGCACCCTACTGGTCACGCAGGTGGTTCCGGGTTCGATCCCCCGACACCGACGCACTCCTTTACGTTACGAAGCCAGTAATAACACTGGTAAACAGGGAAGGTTAGGCATTAGGCTAGCAACCTCATCCCGTAAAAAATTTAAACCCCTGCGGCTACCGAAACTCCAAAGCTCTACCTTGAAGTCCTATGTTCCACTGGGAACGTAGAGGGAATAAAAACGTGTCATGAGAAAAAGGCCATTCCAGGAACCGAATTGACTAAGAGCATTTAAAATGATGTATGAAACTACAAATTTAAAAGTGAAGGTGACCTTAGTCTGTGCTTGTTTATAAGTACTACAAAACCTACAGCGTCAATTTATGTGAATCAAGTCTAAGAGTATCTCAGCCCTATATACATGAAACCAATTAAAGAATGAATAAAAAGTGTACCACACTATCACAAAAAATTCTATATGGAAGGATTTAATTATAAAATAAGAAAACCAATATAGGTAGAATTTATCTACAAAGTTTCATCGTTCATGTGAGGTCTGGGATACTGACTTGACACCCAGTTCGAAGCAGATGGTTGACGGTTCCCAAAACAGCTTCATACGTTATTAAATTCTTTCGGATTCTAGAGCCTATACACACACAACATAGGCTTGGAATCAGGGTTTTTCAGCTCAATAAAGTCTGGTTGTAAGAACCAGACCAGACGTTTACATCCTCCCTTACACTTCTGTGACGAAACATCCTATTCGCTTGAAGATAGTGAACAGAACTTATTTGGAAGAGCCTTAGAACACGTGGCGACATGAGAGCATTTCGAGAGTAAAAACCGACGTCCACCTAGCTCGCCAAGGGCTACACACTAGTTGTGTGACAACTGACAATACCATCCAATTATGTAGACTGAAAGAGAAGAGGTGGGACTCGAACCGGCAATCCTAAATCAAGTGTCATCGGAGTAAGTAGAACGAGACAGAACCAACATAGATACTTACAAATATCGAACTTTGATCAGTCGAACAAGAAATAACAAATCCCGTGTGTAGCACCAGAGTAGAAGATTCACAAACTGGTTTATTCAAAACACTGATTTTATACAAATAAAATAACTTATTTCTATTGTGTATTACATACTTGCATTGTACTTGTGTAACAACAGAAGACAAGGCAGGCAACAGATCAGTTTTATTACGAAAACCAACAGGTATTTATATGTATTTTACGTACATTAATAAGGCTTCTGCCCGCAGAAAGAAGGCGGTCTTCTGATTGGTTGTTTGCAAACAAACGCAGTCTTCTGCTTTCTCGTTTTCGATATTTTTCGGAAATGCGAGCCACTTGTCTGCGAATCATATTTGTCCACGTTTAGGTCAGCTGTGATTGGTTGTTGAATCAGCCTAGATTAATTTCTACCAATCAGCGTAGATCAATGTCTATCAATTGGCTAGCAGCTTGCTCTCACCACACTCGTCCCCCCGTCAAATAGCTTCGTACGCAGGCGTACCGACCTTCTTGGTGCTACATCCTCTAGTTGAGGATTGTGGCTGATCGGCTTGTCCCACTGTACCCATCGTTGGAGCTGACTGGCATTAACTCGTTTCTGTTTGTCACCTCTTCGGACGGTATATACTTGACCCCGTCTTTTCGTGATTGTGTATGGTCCTTCCCACTTTGGCAGGAGTTTCCGTGAACCTGGCCCGCCTCCAACTGTATATCTCCTGTCTCTACACTTCACTTGGTCCCCGACTGCAAAGGTGATGCACCGCGTCTTTTCTTTCATCTGAGACTTCGCGACATCACTCCACTGCTTCCGTATTACATTCTTGACGGCCTCTTTCCGCTCTCCTTTTAATTTCGTCGTACTCCACTTTTGGTGAAGGGGCCAGGTCTCGTTGTGTATCGGTAATCGTGGTTTTCTACCATACATCAGTTGAAAGGGTGAATTCTTCGTTGTTTCCTGAGTGGTAGCCCGATGCGTCAGTAAAATCAGTGGAAGCTCCGTTTCCCAGTTACCGCCCTTCGAGGCCAGCCACTACTTCAGAGTACGGTTGTTTCTCTCCGTTATGCCATTCGTCTGTGGATGATATGGGGTCGTTCTGATCCTCTTGATGCCCAGCTGTTGCAAACGGGAAGTAAATTCTTCACTCTCGAAACAGGGACCTTGGTCTGTCAGTATCGTCTTTGGTACGCCGTGGTCTGCAACGATGTGTTTAACTACTGCGTCTGTCACGGTCTTTGCACGTTGATCTGGGATCGCTACGGCGTCTACCCATCGTGTCGCGTGTTCCGTCATCACCAGGAGGTACTGATTACCATTAGATGTCTGAGGAAATGGACCCATGACATCTACGGACCACAAGTCACCTATCGCCGTAACTGGAATCGACTGAAGCGGTGGTCGTATGCACCGGTCGCCTTTCATTAGCTGGCACCGTGGACATCCAAGTACGTATCTTGCTACGTCTTCTCTCATACCTGGCCAGTACATGCTTTGTCTTAGGAGGTCAGTTGTTCTGGCCACGCCTGTATGTGCTAGCTGGTGACATTCTTCTATCATGTCGTGGCGCGAGGACTGAGGTATGATAGCCAACCAGCTTCCGTCGTTCTCTCGCCAGGTCAGAGTCCCGTAGGCATTCACTCTTAGTCGATCTCTCTGTCTGAGTAGTGTGGTTAGCTCCTTACTCGCCGTAGCTTGATCTACTTCTATCCCGTTGGTTATCACCTGTATCACTGTATTCAGCGTATCATCCAACCTTTGCTTGCGTGCAAGTTTTAGTGGGTCTTGTTCTACAGCATGCACTCCGTAAGCGACCTCGGGCAACTCAGGCTCGTC